GATAGATAGATAGATAGATAGATAGATAGATAGATAGATAGATAGATCAGTCATCCTACATCCTGTATTCATAGCAACTTAACGTGAAACAACTCCTTCAAAGTTTTTATAAAAGCATTCCCGGTTGAAACAGTGTTGCACATACATTTTTTAACGGAGCAGATTCTGAGTAATTGGTGAATTAGTGATAACCTAGCAATTTTATAAATTCAGCCTAAATTCTGGAATCCGAAGTAGTCCTTTATATTTGTGTTTTTAAGCTGAAGTAAATCAGCAACAAGTAAATCCATAGCTTTCAAGGGGGTAAAAGTTTGACAAAATAAAATATATTTATTTAGAAGCAATAAACCAATAATGGCCAATCCTTGCATAAAACAGCACATGTTGCAGGGTTAAATGGGATGATCATACAGAGGCCCATGCAGAGAAACATGATGCACTGAAAGAAAAGTACTTGTTTTTTACAGGCAGGAGACAGTTCTTTAGATATTGGCTAACCTAACCTGTAGCATCTCACTAAATTATATAATATATTTGCACTAAATGAATTGTTTACAAATCAGCAAAACAGATCCATACAGTGTTGAATTTGTGAGAAAATGTTCTCTAAACACAAAAGAAAAACTAAAAGACTCTCCTACTCATTTAGTATTTACATGAAAATCTGCTGGGATTGAATTCCTCAGCCATCTTATAACAAAAACCTTTCAAATGTTTCTCTGCTGCATATCTACTGCTTACGCTAGAACAACTCTGTCGGTGTGTGATGTGTAGACCTGTTTCAAACTGAGTCATGTATACCATTTACCTATTGTCTATGAGCAGTGTTTACAGTGATCGGTCTTTATCTATACTTTCAGGAGAGGAGCCGGCGTGCCATGCCTGGCCTGCCTGTCAGCGCTGATTGCGTCGGGACGGCAAGATCCGAAGAGAAGCAGTGCTCTCCCGGGTCATGAGTTTTGTCACCTGGTCCAAAGTGAGTCCAGCTACCGCTTCCCCATTCACCTGTAGAATCTCATCCCCGACACTGAGGAGGCCAACATGTGGGCCCTCGCCACTGCCGTCGCCAACTTTCTCAACATAGACGCCTACAAAAGGACACAACATGGGATCAAGAAGGAAGCCTGCAAAACCAAACCCCCGCTGTATGGGATTACAGTTTCTTGAGCAGAATTTACCTGTGTCTGGTCGACCTTTACCCCTTGAAATGACAAAACCAAATGGACCATTTGGGGGCTTTACAAGCTCCAGAAGAAGAGTCCCGTCAGGGAAGGCTTGGGTGACTCGGCTCACTGGACGCACCATTTTAGAAACGAGTACGTCTTCGACACTTAGGGCCCTGTGAAGCTCAAGATGGGGGCTGTCAGGACTGTAGAGAAATAAATATATGTGTTTTATTTCTAAACGATAAAACTATAAAATGTAGGTTTGGTCGTTTTTTTTAATATTATTTGTTGTATTTGTTTGTGACACCTACCTGGGTGCAAGACCATATGGTATCTGCACTTCTCCAAGAATTGTTGAACGTTCTGTTCTCCTCTCTAAACTCTGTACAGAGGAGGCTTTGCGCAGCTGGGCCAGTGGCAGCACCTAGTGGCAAATGAATGGCATTGTAACAGCTTATGTGTACATAGCGGCAAAATGAACCAGACCACCTTTTGTTGCTCAAACCTATTGTATCCCTTCTACTTTAAGACTTCCATTGTTTAAGAACACACAAGCATAACCTTTCAGATGGAAGGGATCAGCCATTACTTAATGGAGGGGTAGCTACACAGTCTAAAGAGTCCCCAGAGTCGGACAATAAAGTTACAATTTCAAAGTCCAAATATTTCTAGAAATTAGGACATGATTTCTCTCTTATAGCATTTCCTTTACTTAAATATGTATTGAAATCTTTTGCTTACGGTGTTCAGGGTCTGTAAAGAGGGCGTCCTCTGTATGCGGATGGTGGGCTGAGGCCTGCGTGTGGGGCTTGGTGAGGCCGAGCTTGCCCTGGGAACAGCGGGGATACTGAGCTGTTCCATGCTACTGGAGCGACTCCCTTTCACAAGCCTGCCTACGCTGTTCAGGCCAATGGAGGAGAAGAAGCGTCGCAGGAAAAGCTTAGGCCTTCCATCCATTTTTCTGAGGGACGAAAAGAAACAATACATACATTTACAACAAATGAAAAACATTAACAAAAAGATCCCACTCTATATTTTCATTTTTTGTCTTACTTTGCAAATGTTCGTCTCTTTCTTACATTGTATGAATGAAGCAATGTGCTTTTGCTTTTCATCACCAAAAGAGGGCAGGATTGTCTTTGTATTCTCACATTTTAAGCAATAACGTCCCATGGACTGCAGGTCAGTTCCAATCTACTAACTGCTACCAGCGGCACATTGAAGTCATTGTAGTCAAAGTGTTTGTGGAAGTAAGGGATTTATTGTCTAAGCTATGGCAGGATTTATGGATTCATTTATGGTTTACCTTGAACCGTCAGAGTTTTCCTCCCATAAAGCTTCAGCTTTCAGATGTTCTGCTCTCAACAGCTCAGCTCTGAGATCCTCTGCCCGCGACATACCAAGGCCACGCAGAGCACGGCTTTCTGAACCAGCGCCATGGTCTCCACTTAGACCTGCCGAGAGACCGTCATTATTGATGACTTTTCTATTCTTTTTTTTTTTTGCTGGGGTTTTTTGAGCTTCACTCACCTGCTCCATCTGGAGTAGCATCCCAGAGCTCAGCAGAGGGCAGATCGGTGGTGACTCTGGCTGGTGAGTACCTCAGAGTGGAGGGCCTGACGCAGTGCGCCGGGCCGCTTGTTGCAGGCGTCCCTTGGCTTATTGAAACAGGAGACTCCTTTCTTGTCTCGGAGGAGTCTATTAGAGACTGGGATCCACCCTCTCCTCCCTGATTTGAGGACATTTGAAACTGAACCGTGGACTGACCGGCAGCAGATCGGTTTCTGGAGCTAGACTTCAGCGCTGACTTTATGGGCAGGGATGGGGTGGGTGATTCTCTGAGTCCACTGGATGCCTGAGGTAAATGTGGCTCTAGAGACACAGGGCTATCGGGAGCAAATGAAACAGCTCTGGTCAAGTTGACCCTGTTCCGTGGATTGGAGTTACGCCGCTGAGCCCATGATGGACCGTAGGGGCCATGGCCCGACTCCAACCGACTCTCCCCCTTCCTGCTTCTTCTCCTGAGTTTCCCAAAGCCCGATGACTTCCATCCCGTGCTGCTTTCTTTATTTTCACCAAGCACATACGCTCCGGCAAAAGTAACAGTGAGCGGGGCTTTAGGCCGGGTACTTGCATCAGGTTTGTGTGCAGGTGCACTGCGAGGAGCTGTTTTACCTCGAGAGTCCTCAAGGTTTCCTGACTGCTGTGGGTCGCTGCTCTGTGGAGCTGATGACGATGGGACGGGCTGAGTTTCTCTGACCACAGACCCACAGGCTTCACACTTTTTCACCAGCACTATGATTTCTTGAACAACCTTTATGGTGTCATCACTTGTTATTGTGTTACCATCCTCTTGCTTCTGGGGGGGAGGCATAGAGATGCTTCTTTGGCCTCTGTTCCTGTCTGATCCACTGCTGCTGGAGTCTGTATTATTATCTCTATTCTTGGACTTGGGCCTTCCACGTTGTCTAACTCTATCCAAATAACGAGACTCTGCTTCCTTCTCTGATTCATCCTCAAAGCGTACACGTGTGGGCGAACAACCGTATCGCCTGGATCGACCGGCTTGGTCACTGGGGGAAACGTCTCTTTGTGTAGGGACAAGAAAGGGTCCAGATGCAGCTTGAACTGTAAGATCTTCTTTGGTTTGAACAGGGTTCTGCTTTGTTGTCGGACCAGATGAGTCTGTTTGCTGCTTTCTCCTGCAAGGAATTGGAAAGGTAATTTCAAATCAGACGATGATTCATGTGTTTGTACAGGTGTATTTCCTGAAAGCAAAGCAAACTGGAAGGAAAAGACAACAAGAAAGAGAAATGAATTTACAGTCATCTCTCTTACTCTTGGACCTCACTTACCTAAACCTGCACTTATAATACTGCACAATAAGCAGAGGTTTAATCAGTGCTGTTCATGAAGTGACTACATCTGTCACCATAAACCAGATTTTTTTAGTTCGTCGTAGATGTATCATCTAAAGCAAGTATTCCTAATCCTGAATTAAGTGAAGGCTTCCTGGTTACAAAAGGGGATTTTTGAACCAAGACTGCATGAATCTGTTATATAAACAGAATAAAAGCAACATTTTCACAACATTGTCAGCTTTGTGCTGTAATCACAAAGCATGGTCAGGTTCTAAAGCTCTCAGTTATGCAACTTGCCAAAACAAGCCAAGTTTAAGGGAATGATTGACTATGCAGAGAGGAAGTAAGAGAGACTTAAGGGTGTGGCGCATATGATGGATGAATCAAATAAACCTGTAAATGTTTAGTGAAAGACACATTTCCTTGCACCATTAAACATATCCAAGTATGTACACCATCAGAACAAAAGGTTTTCATGGCTTGTATTTCATGTCTGAAGAAGCTGAAATAACTTATATAAATTATAATCCAGTGAGGCATTTTTTCCCAACTCACACTGTGGGTCTCTGGTCAGAGTGGGAGCGTCTGGGCCGATCATCTTTAAAGTGATTGGAGCGAGCCTTGAGTCTAGCTCGTTCAAGAAGAAGCTTGGCCTGCTCGTGTCTCGGGCTTAAAGGTAGCTCATCACTGATTATGAGAAGTGACCTGGTGACCAAAAGAAAAAGGAGAGTAGCAAAATGCAGAAAGGTGTTAGAGGTTGCGGGTGATACGATAGCGACAGCCAGGTAAAGGAGAGAAAGCAAGGAAAGAGACTGTGATAGTATCAAATATATCTTCATCTGTTTTAATTCAGTTCAAATTTGAAGAAGAGATGAAATGTGGCATGTTTGATTTGTTTTGATACACATCCAGTGACATCATATTTCCAAAAGATTGACTTAACATGAAATGAATCAAGCAGTATCTGCCTAAGCTCTCTTATGCAACATCAGATAGATAGACTGGGGAGTGGCCTTGGTGGTGAGCAGCAGAGAGAAACGTCATCCATCCATCTATCCATGCACCCAGAAGCTAAGCTGCTCTGTATTGTGCTCCATTGTCTGTACTTGTGTTTATCCCTTGGCCCAGTGATAAAGATAGCATGATACACCAGCCATGTGGATTATCCTTGTAATGGTCTGAGTGTGATTCATTCTCTCCTGCCTGTCCAGATGAGAACATATTGTATATTGGTAGGTTATAATTTGTCCTGTCACTTTTTTCTCACTTAAAAGTACATGGAAAATGAAATGCTGTTTCCTTAAATTCAAAACAATTCTATGCAATTAAAGTAAAAAAAATATCAAATACAGCTGATATTCTGATTTTGTTATCAATGTGTCTTATTTGTTGGTTAAATCAATTAGATTGTGATATGCTTGATTATGACATAATCAGGATCAAATATCAGAGTAATCCGAGCATTGCTTATGATACTTTAAACCTTTTTTTTTCTAAATCTATCAGCTCTTGCAAATACTGTATCCTACTGTCATGATTCTATGTTTGGTTTTCTAGCACAGTCACTTCACCAAGGACAAAAATACACTCCACATTTTGGCTAGAAGAAACTGTAGACATTATATCTATAGGGAAAGAATAAAAAAAATAGCCTCTGAGGATTTTACATAGACAGGGTATTGAACAACAATAGTTACCTCAAATAGGGTTCAAGTTCCTGAGCGAGAAGGGCCGTGTCTTTACTGTCCAAAACACCATGGGTACCTGAAACTGACATTAAGCAGAAAGAGAAAGTACAACTCTGAGAAACTGGCATGCAAAATCATGGCTAAAAAAAAGGATCTTCATCCAGTCACAGCAGTGAGGAGACTTTGTAAAGTTGTTGAACTTGTCTTTGCACAGCTTTGCTAAGGTTCCATCCCAGCTGTTAAATCAGGTCTGGACCTTTCTACTTTGCTGTGCTTCAGATATGTACATAGTCCCATGACCCAGTGTCAATCAAGTTTTAGCTTTAGACAGATGGGCTCATATTTGACTCTAATATACTTTGCAGAGTTCATTATTCACTCAGTGGTTGCTGCAGTACTGTGGCTGTAAAACCAACCCTAATCGTCACCTCTCCCCTGTCTTTTTTGACAGCTGGCATTAGATGTTTTTTGTTGATGTGCCATGTTTTGATTAAAAAAATTGTGTAGCTGCGGATTTTCATCAAACATTCCACCTGGTTTTCATTTATCCAAAGAACATTTTCCAGAAGCCTTTGGTTGATTATCTCTGATATAACATTGTAAGCCTAAAGTCTGAAGCCATGTGAGCCGAGGAGTTCTCTTGGCAAACCTTTCGAAAATACAAAATTATCATTCATTTCTAAATTGTGCTGTCTTTTGACATGTTGTCTGAGCCTAATGGGGTCAAAGATGTGGCTCTTGAGGTTTCCACACACAACATTTGTGTTTTGATTTGGTCTAAATGGATTAAATAAAAATGAACGAGGTGGGATTTTTGATGACTTTTGTTTCATCTAAAGATGCATATACCCATTTTGAAGATCTACAAAGGGAAATAGGATTTTTTTCTATCCTGCTTTGTAAAACCCGAAAGAGATTTGATTTAGCTTTTTATATTCACTCCATTTACATTAACTTGGCATGTCACATCCTACCAGAACTCATTTAAGGTTCACTTGTTATTTAACTTTTGCTTGGGGGTAAGTACAGCTGCCAAAAAAGCCCCCCAAAACAACCATCCGTGGTGAAAACCGTGCAGGAATAATTCATTTTATTACATTTTTATGTTTCATAAAATAAAATACAATAAAATAAACTGGGGCATCGTGAGTTAACCCCAACTGATTTTTAATATTAGTCAGAAAACGTTATGGAATTGCCGAGAGACATATAAGCGGAGATTCCTATAGGCAAGGAAACTCCACCATTCCATCCTATTAGACTTGCTTCTGTATTTCTTGATTCGACCTTTCTCTGGTATTGAGTCAAAAACGTGTGGCTGTTGGCAATATTAGTAATAGAAAACATTGTAAATTACATAATCTGCAATCCTACAAGCATACAAAGACATCCACTGGCTCTCAGACAGAGATGCAAATACAGTGACACTTCCCCCACTGCTCTGACTGCTAATAATAGCAACACCCTCGTACACATCTGCACATCTGACATCTGTTCAGTGCTGGGAATCAGCCAGGTTACATAGAGCATTTTAATGCAACCTTTTAGGCAGACAGAAAATGGATTTTTAATGTCATTTTGTAACTCCGGAACAACTGGAAAGGAAAACAAAGTGAACTCATCTTTTTAAATTGTACATGCTGATGTAGGACAACTTAAAAGGGAAAACACTGTTCTGAACTGTCTGTCTCAATTCTAGGGTGCAACCACGTTACAAAATCCTGTTAAAAATGGCAGATGCAACAATATCCAGGTGATAGAGGTCACAGAAATAAGAAATTATGAATGAAAAAAATAACCACAAGCCACTTGTTGAAACACCCTGTTTTAAGCTTGTTGCCTCACTATGTGTTTTTAAATGTTTGGGAATTTTGTAAAACTGTTAGAAAGACAACCAAAGTGAGAAACTGAGCATGGGAGTTCAATTTTCAGAGGTTTTAGAACACTTGGAAGATGTCTGTGAAACAAACACTGATGTCAATTCAAGATTTAGAGGAGCAAACTTCAGATCAGTTTCCTAGTATTAATTAATTAGTAAATTAATTAGTAGGTTAATTAGTTTAAATATATATATCTTTACCTTTATAATCCACTCTGTATGTTATATCTCCACAGTAGTCGACACTTTCTTCCTCATGCTGATCTTGTTCATCTCTGGAGTTCTGTTGTCTTTCTCGTAACTTTGCATAAGCCCTCTCCTTCACTCTGAGCTTTAAATCAGCACAGAGCACTCCATTTTGTGAAGACACACTCTCCCAGCTGTCTGAACTGCACATTCCTTTGGCTGAATCCACCACATCTGCCTCGCCTTGCTCACAGCTGTCCAGGTAGCACTCCACATCATCCAAGTATTTCAAATCTGATGACATATCATTTACCACCTCATTTATATTGTCTGGTTCAACTGGTTCAGACCTTGTGAGAGGTTCAGTCTGCACCTCTATCTGAGTATAGTCTTTCAGTGGTAAAGTCGGGGGTATGTTGTGAGGGCCAACGCCATTGAGCAGTAATGTTTCTGGGCGTGCGACTCGCCAGAATCCCTTTGGAGGTGCCCAGTGTTTTACTGAAGACAGGGGCGAGGAGGAGGCAGAAGTGGCAGAAGTAGAAGAGGACATGGCAGACAGTGGCGGAGGGGGAGCGGGATCATCTTTGCTGCTGCTTGAATTATCCGACAGAAGACTCTCCAGACTGGTGCCCTCACCAAGCCCACAGGGCTCCTTTATTTGGGCACTGACCTGGTCCACATTTGTATCTGTCTTCTCCTCTTCACATCCCTCCTCTCCTTGTTCTGTCTTTACGTCGACTGGAGGACTGTGGATCTCCAGCCTAACCTGCACCTCCACCTCCTCTTCCTCGTCACTGCTGCTCAGGTCTCTTGATGTTCCCGATCGCCAGGAGGTTGCAGGCACAGATGGCTGCCCCCTCCCTCGGGGTCGCTGCCTGAGAAAGATTTCAGATGACATCTGCCCAGCCGGACGGTTTATTTGAACTTCCGTGTCCAACCTCTCTCTGTCCTTTTCTCGTTCTCGTTCTCGCTCTCGTCCTCGTGTCCTTCTCTGTGTCAGCGATTTCACCTTGGTCTGTAGAGAGTGCATGGCTGAACTCTGAGGGGGAGTGAGTGAAGTGTTCAAGGCAGGCGATGGGAAAACGGGCTCAGGAACAGGGCCGGTAATCAGCCCCCAGTTAATAGGTAGCCCAGTGGGCACAGGGCAACTGGACTTAGGATGAATACTGTCATCCGTTTTCCCGTCCTCCATTGGCTGATCAAGCAAAGAAAGTCAGAGATTAATTCTGTAAAGAGAAAAAGAAAAAAACAATGCTTTATCATTTTGAAGCACATAAAAGAAAGATGAAACCAGTTATTACTTCTCTCTAGTGGTGGGCGGAGATATGTATTGTGGATTGAGTCACGTTGCCTTATCCAGTGATTACTTTGCAGGGCACAGGATAATCCTTTAGAACAAGAATAAGCAACTGCTGTCTGCTACTGAGACCATACAAGCTTATGGGCAACGTGTTTAATTATCTTTTTCTTTTGATAAGCAAGATCAGCATTAAATATCTAAAAATATATTGTACCTTTCTGCCATTGGTCAACAATCAGCTCAAAATGAAAAGTTTTATGCTTGATCACTGACTTCTGAAGATAATGTATGTATAACAAATACGTAATATGTATCATTATTCAAATTGAAAACATTATTCGAGGTTAAAACACCATTATGCATATACATGCCTAAATAATTAGCAAAGCAGCTTCTGACTTCAAATGAGAGAGAACATGTTTTTACAAAGGCTAACACGTGTTGAGAAAAGGCTACATGGATGGTAGAGATATACTTTAAAACACAATACCGGTTTGAGAAAGTTGTTTACATATCGACGCTCGGTATGCTCCTTAGGACCTGCGCAAACGCACAGTGCGGATGCTGCAGCGTGCATAATCAGTCCGACTACCAGTAACATCAGCAACATAGAATCAAGAACTGTTCCCACTGATAATAATAATAAAACAGACTAAAGAAGTATTCTCACTGCTTCTCTAGATCTATCCAGATTCCAGAAGGCTGCACTTCCACTCAGAGTCGTAGCTCCCAATCCGAGCTATGTCGGACGAGTCAGCGGTCCCTCTATCATGATTGGTCCGGTAATCCCTTCAGAAATCAGAGGGATTAACAAAAATGGAATACAAAAATGCTTGCTTTTCTTTCATCCTTGCCACGAGAACCCGCTGCCGACTGTTGCGTAAGTACAGTGCGCACACACACCACATAATATCTAGTCCGTAAAAAAAAGAGAAAAATCAAACTAAAATAGCGTCAATGGCAGATTGGTGGTTTTCTATTTGTTGCTAACTGTTAATGGCCAGAGATGCTGGCTCTAGACCTGAATTACATGGCAGATTATGTCTCGTAAAAACAACTGTCAGCTGATTCTTACTTGTCAATACAGCTGATCCCTCCCTGCCTGTCTCTTTTTATCCCATGCTGTTCCCTCCCCTCTCCCTCTCCAACTCTGTCTGCGCTCACTCTCACGAATGCTCACACATGGGAATGTCAGTCGAAATAATAAACTATATGAAAGACTGGCAGCACTGTGTAAAATCCCCTAACCAAAGACACAGAAAACAACAACACGGCGGAGGGAGTCAGAGATAGCCAACCTCCTTTTATGCACAACACATCTATACGATTAGCCTGATACTTAATAAATTGATTTGTTCGGGTGTTTTGATGGAATCCGATATTATGACTTGTCGGCATTCGGTGTCTCATTTTTATTTTGTTTCTTTTTGTCATTTTTGAGTCGTCGTGATCATTTAACGTCAACTTTTTTTCTTTGTATTTTCTGTTATTTACATCCATTGTCTGTCTCCATTTTCATTCATGTAAATAATATAAGCAATATTCATTAACATTTATTGTGTAAGTACCCTATCTTTTTTGGATCCTGCTATCATTACATTTCTAGGATAAGACGGACCCTTTTGTTTGTGTCTTAGAGGCCCTCATCGGGAAAATTATCTCGTTACCAACTTTCTGAAATCCATATCTCGTCCCTATTAAGTTTGTGTTGGGGATGTGTTTTCGGTCATATATCAATAGAGGGCGACATTTCACGTTCTCACGCACTCCAGCGCGTGCACGCACGCACACACGTATCTCGCCCAGCTAGCTACAACCGGCTAGAGAGTTGTCGTAGACTTGACACCTTCCCCAACCTCGGCAGCAGCGAAGCTGCATAGTCGACATGGCAGGAAAATATTGCAACAGTTTTCTAACGAAAGATGAGATACTTCCAAGTCTTTTGGAATAAGTAAGTAGTGTCGACATTATAGATTTTACTTTCACGTAATAAACTAACAGGAAATGCAACACGGTTTGTTGTTACATTAAATACGCATAGCGATGGTTAGTTGCTGCTAACATAAAGATGTCTAGCCAACAGGCTAAAAGCTACGCTATGGAGTGGAGTAACATTTTGTCGTTAGCATGTTAGCTTCCCGAGCTTATTAAAACGATTGAACTAGCTGCCTCACAGAGTATGACTACATCATCATCCTATGATGATTGTAAATGTTTATCTGCTGTTGCGTTGAACTTGTTACGTTTGACATACATAAATGTATTTTAATACAGTTAGTCAACATGTTAGCTTGGGAGGCTAGCGTTACATAATATCACTGCAAGTCAAATGGACGTCCACTGTTCGTCTGATAGCGTTCGTTTCCTTAACCAATTTTATAGATAATAGTTGACGTTACTAGCAGTGTAATTAAGCCAAATATACCTGTTCGCTGAAAACCGTGTGCATTTGACAGTTAAATACCCACAGGATTCAGAATATGTGTAAATAATATGGGGTCCAACGACGTTTAAGCGTTTGCTAAACTAGCCAACTAGCCACCCATAGCCTAGTTTGCTAAAAGTAAGCTAACTCATCGCGTCATATCACATGCACAATTATATTCTGAACATTAAATTGTTAACATTGTTGCAGTCGTGGTAGCAAATCTTATATTTACCATAACTGCTTATAAGTTTAATTTAGCGCCATACTATCCGTTTCTAACTATTAAACGTTAGCAACTTTGCATTTGTTAGCAAAGAGGTACATGGATGTTAGCCTCTTCTGTACCCTTTGTCCATAGTCATACTGGTAACCAGCTTCTATAAGTAGGCCACACAACAGTTGTTTTGATCTGTTTTCATCATTTGATTCGCTTGCACCTCACAAACATGAGGCGCGTTGTTGTTTCAATGCGAAATACGCATGTTTTATCGATAGTTTAAGAAAAAATACAATCTACACGGGCATTACTGGTCGACTTAGTAACCCCCTCCCCCAAGACTGCATTTTTAAACTGTAGATGCACTTAACCAAAACATGGCTGTGGGCATAGCTGTATTTAGGTGTCTGTATAATTTTTGTTAGAAGTGAATGATTTAGAATTTTAATATTTCCTTTTTTCTTTCCTTTACAGTATTCATCATGAGATGTGATACAATTTCCACAATGTGTGAGGACCTTTAAGAACGATTGAGTTCGGAAAAAAAAATCTTGATTCCAGTGGAATCTTCCATATATCTATATATATATAATTTTTTTTTCTTTGTGTTAAAATCTTACTTACATTTACACACACTTATCCCATTAAGATATAACAATGCCAGTGCAAGCCCCACAATGGACAGAGTTTCTACTGTGCCCGATCTGCACACAGACTTTTGAGGAGACTGTTCGCAGGCCCATCAGCTTAGGCTGTGGACACACTGTTTGCAAGATGTGCCTGAATAAGTTGCACCGAAAGGCCTGTCCCTTTGACCAGACGGCCATCAGCACAGACATCGAGCAGCTACCTGTCAACACAGCCCTTTTGCAGCTGGTTGGAGGCCAGGTAAGACTTCAGTCTGCATGCATTTGCCATAATAGCAAAACTGTAATCCGCATGTCCCAGTTGATATTACATGTTTCAAGCCATTTAAAACACCATTGCTGTTTGTTATTGTTATTATTATAGCTTCCATTTACAATCACGGTTTGTTGATTCTAAAAAAATGTTGTGCACAAGCTATTACATGAAATGCATAACACGGGGATTCCTTTTTAGTCACCCCATTGTTGTTGTGCAATTGCATGCATTTTATTGGTTTACAGATTGCTGGTACAATCAGGTGGTGATGTTTGACCAATAGGGTGAGGAACAGCTAATGGTGTTATCTTTGTTATCAGCTTGAGACATTTTAGTAATGGATGAACTTGGTGCATGTCTGTGCAGCAAATTCATCCATTATGTTGTATGTCCCCATCTAAGCAGATAGTCCGTGTGATATGTATGTTAGCTAATAATATTCTGTTTTTTTGCCATAGAAAACTAACATGATTTGTAATAACAAGTTTGTTTACCCCGCTCCCAACATTAATTGACACTCTGATAAAAAGCATAATTACATATGTTTGCACAGACACACACACGCTGGACCATGCCATTACATGCTGTAGCGGTGCTGGTATTTTTTGCATGTATGAGACAGACTCTGTCTCATATGTATAGCAAGCTATACATGTAACATTTTAGTGACATGTTGATCATTTAGACCCAACAACTGAAACCATCTCATTTTGAAATCGGGGCACAGATCCTGACACCTGGTGCAGACTGTTTGGCTGCTGGTCACTTTAATATTATAATACACATATATGCTGCAAAACAAACTTATTATAGATCTATGTAAAATATGGATATCATTAGTCCCATATGGTTATGCAAGGCTCCTTAAATGCCAACATACAAAGTTTTGTAATTAATCATGTGGTGTGTCTGGATAGAATAATTAAATATAAATCAAAATAAGAGACCCTTGCACATACAGGGGTATGTGATTTTAATATTTACATAATAGTTCGTTGATGCTAGCTACAGTGACAGCTTTAAGATGCATTTGTATGTTCTTTGAACATTTTCTTTGTTTATTTTTTATTTCTGCAGGTTCCTAAGGCTCAGCCAGTTGCCTTGATTACCAGTCCAGAGGACTCTCAGAATTATGAGGTGGCCAGGCAGTGTGTTGAGGAACTGGCCCTCTACCTCAAACCTCTCAGTAACACCAGAGGTACTGAACACGTGTCTCGTTGCTGGTGTTGTTTGTCCGTTGTTTATTGCTACCCTGTAATACTGTTAACAGCGTAGTGACACTAATGCAGGGAGTCCCATATGTGGACATACTTTCTCATTAATTTTAATAGATTTGTTTCTCTAAAGCAACACACACATACACATATATATGTTTATAATAGAAGCAAACCCTAACAATTTTGATAGTGTATACTAGTCAATTTAAAGCAGTCATTAGTTAGGTTAATGATTGTCGATGGTGTGGTTTCATATACGGTGAATTAGTGGTTAATCAATGATGTATATTTTACTCAAAATATAACAGTATTTTGTGAGGGTTTATTCTGTTTTTTTGCCATAGAAAACTAACAAAATACTGTTTTATTTTGTGAAAGAAATATAATCTTTATTTTTACTTTATAATAAAGCTACAATAATAAAATGATTTTAATGCAATAAAAACAAACAAAAAAAGAGTAAAACTGTAAGTTTTGGGAAAATACTTTTGTGTTGTGTACTCAAGGTTTCATTCAGAAATAAAGTTGTTGTTGGACTGTAGATAATTGGGTTGACATGTAGTTGTGACATATCTGACTGTAAAGAGCAAGTTACAATAGCTCATTTAGGAAAAATTAGATTTGTTTTTCTTTGTTTGTTCTGTATGTAATGAATTTTTTATGTCTTAGCAGGTGTGGGTCTGAGCAATACAGCCCAAAGCATATTGAGTCGGCCCATGCAGAGGAAACTGGTAACTTTGGTCCATTGCCAGCTGGTAGAGGAAGAAGGCCGCGTCAGAGCCATGAGAGCTGCCCGCTCTCTTGGTGAGAGAACTGTCACTGAACTCATCTTGCAGCACCAGAATCCACAGCAACTCTCTTCCAATCTGTGGGCTGCGGTCCGTGCTCGAGGATGTCAGTTTCTTGGACCAGGTAGATTTTCTTAACCTGCAAATTAAAAGCATGGGAGTATTCAATTTATTCCCAGTATATGTCCATTTCCTGATCTTAATCCCAATTGCCTGTTACTTAGATGTTTTGTTTTTGTGTTTTTTCCTTCCCACAGCAATGCAGGAGGAAGCTCTGAAGTTGGTCCTCCTTGCTTTAGAAGATGGTTCTGCTTTGTCGAGGAAGGTGTTGGTTCTCTTTGTCGTCCAAAGGCTGGAGCCACGCTTCCCCCAGGCTTCTAAAACGAGCATAGGCCACGTAGTACAGCTCCTTTATAGAGCCTCCTGCTTTAAGGTATGTCCCTAACTGACACCCAGCAGAACTGTCTGTGATTGTTAGAAAACAAACTTTGGTTCTGGTCCACAGAACGTCTGCTCAGGCTGATATCTGAGCAACGTTTTCTTGGCAAGACATTGATTAGTGTTCATTTGAGTTAACAAAACTTCAGTCTTACAGATAGACACTTGAGTGAGGAGGAAATTCAGCTATTTTGTGTTTTTCCAGGTCACCAAACGTGATGAAGATTCATCCCTGATGCAGCTGAAAGAGGAGTTCCGTACTTATGAAGCACTGCGACGTGAGCACGACTCTCAGATTGTTCAGATTGCCATGGAGGGTGGATTGCGCATTGCACCCGACCAGTGGTCTTCTCTGTTGTATGGAGATCAGTCTCACAAGTCGCACATGCAGTCTATTATAGATAAGGTATGTGTTTCCATATAAATGCAATGGTTGCATTTATGTAAACATGCAGGACAAATGGTTCCCTCTTCACAGATGGAGGTTTGTTTGTGTCACAATCGCGTTAATATTTTCTTTATTTCCAATGCTTCTGGGATAGCTGCAGACCCCAGCATCTTTTGCTCAAAGTGTTCAGGAGCTAACAATTGCACTGCAAAGGACTGGAGACCCAGCCAACCTCAACAGGCTGCGGCCCCACCTGGAACTACTGGCTAACATTGATCCCAGTCCTGGTAGGAAGTCTATTACATGTTTTGCGAATCCTGATCTAAATATTGCCTGTGGGAGATTTCTCAGTGTTCTCCACATATCTCCTTTCCTCCCCAGATGCTCCTCCTCCAATGTGGGAGCAGCTTGAAAAGGGGCTGGTAGCAGTGAAAACAGTGGTACATGGCCTGGTTGACTTTATCCAGAACCATAGCAAGAAAGGAGCTGATCCTCAGCAGGTTCGTGCTTCTTGATGTTTTCAGAGACTTACAAAATATACAATATTGTGGTGGTCAAAGTAACTATATTCTGTCACAGGTTAATGAAGCCATTAATGTTTTGTACCTTACGTCCATTAAAAAAAAGTCTTTAGACGACTGCCTTTATCAATTTTGTCTCTATAATTCATTAAGGCTTTACATTTTTTATTTAAACAAAAAAATCATATTCACCTTCTCTCTGAAGCCTCCTCAGCACAGCAAATACAAGACATACATGTGTCGTGACATGAAGCAGAAGGGAGGCTGTCCGCGTGGAGCCAGCTGCACTTTTGCTCACTCTCAGGAAGAACTGGAGAAGTCAGTAAAACATATTGCCACAAAGTCTTTATCATTGATACATATGGTTTACTATATTGTTTTACCATGTATTTTGTTTTTTGACAGATATCGTAAGATGAACAAGCGTCCGGCACCTCGCTCAGGAGGGCTACTGCCAGATGATGGCCTTACTGATTTAGCAGGGACCCGGAAGCCCTCACCTCTTGCCAATGGCAGCGGTGCACCAAATCTGCCACCACTAATTGCCCGTGGGACAGACTCTGTCTCATATGACATTGTTCGTAAAGCTGTCAAGCTAGAAGGAGGAAGTAGTAGTGCCCCAGGATCACCACCGGATGTGTGAGTGGAGTGGTTTCCAGTGTTTGTTTTTTTTGCAGCTGAACAGTTTTACGCTAAGAAATTAACTTACCATAATTTCTTTCTGCAGCCTTGACACCGTGCCCAAGCCTGGTATGCCTCTGCCACCTCACGCAATGGCCCATTCAAGGATACCACCAGATCACATCTCGGGGGTGAAGCACATGCCTGTGGTAGCCAGAGGTTCACCAGTGTATCCTCAGCCGCAATTCTCTGAGATGTGCTATAACACTCGTCCACCCCCTGCTTCTCAGTATGAGCCCACACAATACTCCACAGGTACGTTTTTAGTATCTGGTATGTTGGAAAAAGACATGCCTAATAAAACTGTATCACGTCAGAAAATCTGAAAGATTTTGCAGATGGACAGCTACACCTCTGAAGATGACATTTGATTGTTCATTCTTCTAGCAGCCTGTAGTTGATAGATTCTGTTTATTGTTAGTGTATGTGTTTTGCATCTGCTTTCATGCAACGGCTGTGTGAGGTTCACAGTGTCAATAGTCCATGGGTCCTCTGTGGCAATTTTTTTTTTATCTCAAACATTTAAAATTCTATCCATGCACATGATGTTGTGGCTTTTCTAAACAACAACAAACAAAAATGTGGGACGCAGAGCAGAAGGACCTTGTGAAACATTGTCAGTACCCATGTAATGTAATTAGAGATCAGTGTGTGATTTGTGTCCACTAGAATTCATATTACAGACAAACTATGTAGTTTATGTTAGTTATGACTTCTGACTATATATGTCTGACGCTCACCTTTTACATTTTAATTGTTCATTAAATAAAAGCCCACTTGCTACATGCAGCAGAAGGACATTTAACCAGTCAGATGCTTCCTTAATGATCGGCTATTGAAAAAACACTAAACATTCAATATGTCTTGCACAGTTTTGCATGTTGTCATGGAAACATCAGCAAATGCTTTGCAGCCGAAGTCCCACAACATGCAACATTTTAAAATACAACTTTATAAGTAGCTTTAAAGTGATACAGTGGTTTTCTAAATATTGATCTGTTTTTTTTTTCTAAATATTGATCTGTTTTTTTTTTTTTCAGGGTACTCGTACCAACAGCCACAATATGTTCCTCGGGATTACATCCGTAACCCGCCTCCCTCGAATGAGTCAGGACCCCCTTACCCAGACCCCTACCCGGGCTATGGCCCTCCAGAGCGCCCCTATCAGGGTCCTCACTCAGGCCCGCCTTTCTCGTATCCTCACCCTCCTTATTACGACAAAGATCGCCACGGTGGCCCACCACCTCCCCCTCAGCCTTACCCATCTCAGAGGGACGACTTGTTCAGAATGAGCCCAGCACCTCTGGATGTTCCTCCACCATCTGCAGGACAGACCAACTCACTGTACCACCAGGAGCCCAGTGCTCGGGATAGATACCCACCAGATGGCTACTATCCACCCAGCACTCAGCCTCCTCATATAAGAACTTATGTCAGGGTAAGTGTATATTAAGTCTTTTGATATTCCTGTAAAAATTAAATTTTTTATTTATTAAAAAAAAGCAAGCTGTGTACCGTTCAGCAGTAATATACCTGTGTGTTTGTGTCTCAGGGACCCCCACATGGTAATTCACAGCTCAGTTTGGACTACCTCCATCGGCGTCGGCAAGAGTTGTTGTCACAACTTGAAGAAAGGAAAGTCATCTCCCCTCCACCATTCGCTGCCTCCCCCACTCTTTCACATCCCTTTCCCAGTGACTACCCTAGTGAGGTGAGCAAGAATTTTAATCTTGGATGCCTCTTGAACAAATTTCAAACGCATGTGTGCACGTAAATGAATGACAGCTCAACTTTCAGCACTATGGTAAAGTATGGCTGTATTTTCTGTGTTTGCAGTATGGTGACGATAGCTCCAAAACATTAGTCAAATGCAGAGACCTCGATTATCCAGGGCAATACTCCCCCTGGTCATGTGAAACTATCAGCCGATATATTGGCACAAAGGACGCCAAACCCAAAGATGTTATGGTTCCTGGTACCATGGAGATGATGGTAAGATTTTAGATGAATAACTCTATTCATTTTTTCAATTTAAACGAACATTTGAGTCTTAATGCCAATGCTTGGGTCAGTGTTAAGAGCAGGTGGTCAGTGTGTGAGTTACTGGCACCAGTTTAACAAAAGAGAAACATGTAGCTTGCCTAACCTCTCCTCTATTCACCCCTTTTTTTTTTCTCATGTCAGAATGTGGAAGCTAAAGGTCTAAGGGAACCGTCATTGGAAGCGCCTCGTAGGGGGGCAGAAGTAAAGGACGATGACCCTATTATCCCATTTGGCCCCCAGCCCACTGTATCACGCTTTGGCGCCATCTCCCGCACTTCAAAGACCGGCTACCAGACCACCGGCCATGTGCAGGGCATGGTCACACCGCCCCAGAACCCCAACTCCAAACACATGCCTATGTCAGGTAAGAATTGATTTAATACAGACATTGATGAGATGGCACCAGTATGCTGGCTGTTCCTTCGCGCTGGAAAAAATAGTCCCATATTTCTGGGGCTCAGTTGGTAAAATGCAGTTGTGTTATTATGTTTAGTGAAAATTTGAATTTGTTGCCACTATTTATAGCACAGCAGTTCTCATTGCTACTTATGTCTGTACCGTATGTGATCATTTTGATTATAATGAAGCGGTTATTTTGATTTTCTTAAAAGACACTATTCTGTTTTCCAATTGACCACGATTTTTACAGCTGAATATTCATATGGAAATCACGGAGGATGGGGTGCGCCGTCGTACCCTTCCCACTCCTCTCAGGGACACTTTAGTGAGCGGTAAGCCTTTCTTCGTTTTTATTCGTAATTGATATTATTATAATGCAATAAGAATATTAGAATTTTATTCTTGGGAGTTTTTTACACCTACATTGCAGTCCATAAATTGGTCCAAATGCATGTGCACTGAGAGACTTTAGTAAACAATGATCCAGAGTACCAGCCACCCCTGCACTGAAAGCTTTTGAATATGAAGAGATCCTCAAGCTATGAGTAGAGATTAACTTTTTGTTTTGACCGGACCCACCACCCTATTCCGAGAATAGATAAATAAGAGTGAAATTGAGTCATTGACAAGGAATGTCAGGACACTATGGTCTCTGATAGGGGAATAAACCTCTGCTCGATGCACTGTCCTGCAGTCTTTAAATGACTATTTCAGGGACTGATCCTGAAGTTATAGAAAAAGAAACAATCTTGTGATGACATCTTTACATTGACAGGTAGTTGCACTGATCTTTTTATGTGCATTTATTCTTCTGACCATAAAAAGAAGGTAAAATTGTATTCCAATCCTTGCCCATCGTGTTCGAATAGTAGCAAACATAACAGCTCCCATGGAAGGGTTTTTGGCTCCTTGGCTCTGCTCAGAGATCCGCCCGCAGGTTTCCAGCTGTGAGTGCTCCAAATTCCTCATTTAAACAGGAACTGTGGAAAAAGACTGAAGCAGATAGTCTTGATGTGCTCAGTTTGTGTAAGTTGTAGACTTTAAATGATTTTGATGTTTTTGTTTTTTTTGTCATAGCCTTCCCATGCCAGCCCAAGACAGAGAACAGTTACAGATTGAGCTGCAGCAGGTCAACCAGCAGATCACTCAGCAAACCCAGATGCACAACATGGAGGTGTGTTGACTGATTTGTTTTTTTTTAAACCTTAGACTCATAATTGTATCTAATTGGTTTCAACTTTTTAAAGACCACACACTCACCCTGCTCACTTTGCTGCAACTTGCAGGCTGCCAGTAACTCTCTACTCCTGCAGAGGGAGGCTAGTGCAATGGCAGGCCAGCCTGTGCAGACAAGCCAAGGCCAGACATCAGTGACCCCACAGCAGCAGCAACAGCCCAAGTGGCCAGCAGGGGGCGCTAGTGCAACAGCTGTCTCCAGTGAACAGCTGAGCCTTGAGCTCCACCAAGTGGAGAGAGAAATTGGGAAAAGGACTAGAGAGATGGCTATGGTAGTGCTGTGCTTACTGAACATGAATGAGAACTCTTTGTTTCTTTAAGCCTAGAAATTTTAGGGGTTTTTGCTAACAACTTGCCGTCTGTTGCAGGAAAACCAGGTAGCCCATGAGGTCCAGCATTACAAGATGAAAACTGCAGAGAATGGACAACCAGAGCACAAGACTCAGCTGGAGGAAATCTCCCTTGCTCTTGGGTGAGTGTGAGCATTTTTAACATTTGTTCTCTCTGGTTATTCACTTATTGTACATTTGTCCGCACCTCCCTTATTTCTTTATTCTGATGTTTTGCTCTGTTCTTAATTCAGCGAAGTGTCTAACGGCTCCAGCGGGCTGCAGGAAAGCGCAGTGGGTGGGTCCATGCTGTCCCTGACAAATAAGACGTCTACAATGAGCCTGTGCTCTGATCCAAGTGCCACCGGTTCAGAGATGCAGAAAAATGGCGTCCATTCCTGCTCTTAGGAAGTACACGCGCACACATAAACATTTTATGCATACACAAAGCGCTCAGTTGAAAAGCATGCACAGGCACACATACACCCGTTCTATTTAGAAGATGAGCAGTATCTGCCGTGATGAATTTTCTTTCTTTTTGTTCTGTGAATGAGCTTTTTTTTATGACTTTCCTTGCCTGGAAACCAGAGCATATAATAACATTTGTGTGTGTTGTTAAATCTTGATTTAAAAAAATAAATAATTTTTTTGTTTGTTCTGGGATTAGATTAACAAGGCTCGCAATGGATATCTCGGGAAGAGAAAGTGATGGTGATGTTGACAGCAGTGTTTGCTCTTTATAGTAAATATGGCTATTCAGTTGTCAAACTTAAGATGAGTAATGATCTACCCTTTGCAAGATTCCTGGCTTATTTGTTGAAGCACTCATTTAAAGAAACGGTTAAGAACAGAGCAGTGCAGGTTAACAGGTCACATAAAGGTTTCCCTTTCAGTATCATTCATGAAGGTAATATAGAAAAGACCAAATATGTGTGGCTTGGTTATCGCCCCCAAAATCGTAGTGGTTGCCATGATCTGGACGTCAGAGGAGGGAAATGCTAAGTCCCACCTGTATAAGGCCAAACGAGACATGTACAGTGCAGAAATGAAGAGTAGCACCGCATGTATTTCCTCTTCTGCCACAGGAGCTCTGATTTTATTCTCACATTTTATGAACTCATCGTATATCCGTTTAATTTTTGAAAGCAGTATATAATAAATTGGAGCATTCTGTTTTAAAGATTGCAACAAGTCATTTTGATAAGGTGTCCACTTCTATAAGGTGCTTCTCTTCATTGTGGGTTAAACTGATGTGGTTTGGTTTCGGTGCCTCTCACCCGTCCTCCATTTGCTCACAGCCTATAATGGCATTTTACAGTATCCTCAGAAGGAGTTTGTTGTACTTCTTTTTCCTGAGTTAATGCACATTTGCAGGCTGAGAGAGGAGTATTTTTCAGCTTCAGGAATCGGGTGAGTGAGCGTAAACTTAACAACATCAGGGTGTTAGCATTTCCCTCCCGAGAACTTCTCATCTGGCCACTTGAAGGGCCTCCCCATTGGGATTATCTTGTCATTTGTTCTCCTAACTTCTATGAAGTTGCCTTCCCTTGTGTTGTTTTTGTTAAATCTTTTTTTTTTTTTTCCTGTGCTTTACATTGTTACGATTTTGGGCGGTGCAGCTAACCTTGTGGAAGCTTCGAGGAGCGGAGTTAAAGTGGTGTCCTTTGTCATGGAAAGGTTTAATTTTGGGATGTAGCATTTGTTGCAGAAAGGTTGCTGCTGTAGCATTTTCAGCTGCACAGTACATCTGAAATCATGTTTACAGCTGAGAGTAGGAGCTTTAGTTACTGGGAAGGAATAAAAAGAAAGCTTGAAAACCAGCTGCCCTTACGTAAGATTTGAAATGACGGCTTAAATTGGGGAGCATGTGGTCGAGGTCGACCGTTACCAGGCTGTCATCATCACCATCATTACTGCATCTGCTCTTTCTCCCTCATAGAAGTTGTTTACTGCTAATGCTCGACACGGAGCTCTTTGCCTTCTGTAAACAATTGGCTTAACTGGCAACAGTTTTAGAGCTCTGCTCAGCGAGTCCTTGTGTTTGAACGGTTAGAATATAGACGCTTTGGGTCAAGTTGTTATAGTTTAAGGTTGAGCCTTCATTTTGGTTAGACGGGAAACTGAGAAACTTACGGACAAATCCCTGATGATCGGTGAGTCAGTTGACGACACAAATACTTTTGTGTCTGACGTCATCAGACTTTGGGGATCTCTCTCCATTTTTCAGAATCTTTTTTTTTTTTTTTTTTAAGTTTCCATCCACACTTAAAGCCTCTGGCTGCTCCTTGCTACATTTATTGTTTAGGTACACAGCTCACTTATACATATGAGTATGTATACATTATTAATATACTAAAGCACTATTAACGTGCCACCTCTTACTCAACTTGCTCAGCATTTATATTAAATGATCTCTACTTAGAATCAGCAAAATATTTTTTGTTTTTTTGTTTTCTGTCCACTGGTTGCCAACACAGACTTTATCCTTTCCCAGACGAAGGACCTCTGTGTGCATTGATGTGTGTTCACTTAATCTTTTGTGTTCAAACAAAGATGTTCTTTTTAGACTATGCTTCCGAAGAAGACAAAATCTGTAACTTTGGAAAATTTATATGGAGATGTTTTGTGTGTGCTAGATTGTATTGTAGAAAATGTACCCTGACTTAAGTTTTTTTTTTTTCTCTCTTCCCACCCCTACTGCCCTCCTCAAAGTGTGCTGTACCGGGTGATGGTAGTGTTGAGGTATTACAGCAGTGTTGGACTTCTTTTTCTTTTTTTATTTGTCTCCCACTACTGTCCCCCCCCAAAAAACAAATGGCAGAAGTCTCTGATGAAAAGCCAGCCTTAAATCCATCTGTAACGCTTCTCTGCAGTATCTGTTTAAGTAGCATGAGATCTCAGTACACAACCCAAAGCTGAATTACTATGATTCAGTCATACAGATGGACTGTATCAGACCCCGCCCGCCTCTCAAAAGGCTGCAATCTCAAATGTTATTGGCGCCATTTTGTTTTTGTTTTTCTTCGTCCTCTTTTGCCTTACAAGGGAAAAGATTTTGTCGCATGGGGTTTATAGTTTTCTTCGCATTTTTGCAGGAGCTAAGGTGAATCCCTAGATCTGATTTTGCAGTTGACAGCTTTAAGAGTGTCCAAGTAAGCTCCCGTATTCCCCTTTTATCTGGCGACTTATTAGTTACTCGACCTGCCATCTATAAGAATAACTGCGGTTCGATTGAAGGAAGGGGGCTTTCACTACAAATTTACAACATGCAGATGTGGTAATGTCTCATTCTTGTAAGTCAACCAAATATTCCAAAGCATGGATTCTGCCTGAGGGGTCATTGTAGGTCCAGGTGAGCCTAAAACACCTTTTAGTTTAGCTGAACTTTCATACAGTGATGCTAAGGGACCGTCGCTGTTTGTAAATGGCAAACATGTTTGTTTCAGTTGTGTTTCTTTTGTGAGTGGAGCTGCTGCCTACACCCCTCAGTGACCACAAACCCCCTCTACCCCCACACTCGACCGCTGACCTGCTGTTTGAGGCTCACATTTTATTCCTGAACTTTCTGGGAAAATTCGCAAATGGCTTTTTTATATGATTACTCCCTTGTAAAATATTTCTTAAATTAAGGTACAGGTTTGATTTCAGCAAGAAAAAAAAGGTTTTTATATGTATATTATACTCCATTAAGGAATGTCTAGAATTATCTTCCTCCAATGTGGATGTAGCCATTATTACGCCATTTTATGACTTTGTAAGAGAATTCACTGTGTGAAAATTGGTTTGCATTTTTGTATAATACAATCTGCTTTTTTCTTTTTGTTTCTTTTTTTTGTTTTTCTTTTTTGTTTGTTTGATACGAGAGGGAGGTCAAACTGGAAGTTTGAATAAAGAATAAAAACCTGTGAAATTGAGAAAAAACAAAATGTAACTTATGTGCAACAGTGATTCTAAGCAGAGGGGGGAAAATAAATGATATTGCTAACTGAATGTCTATTTTTTCCTTCATTTATTCTTTAGTTTAAGGCATGTCAAGTATAAAGTCCAAGCACAAAATGTAGTTTTTTGGTCCCGCCTCTTTTTATTTTTTTGGATGGAAAAGAGCCGTCATAGTTCATCCCAGTATTAGTTCTTCACTGACCAAACTGGCTTCAGGACAAACACGCCTGATAGCCTCCCATTTACCTTCAAATTATACTTGTTGGATCCCAAGAAACATGCCTTCCATCATGTAATCTTCCCAAAGCATTCATGTCTTCCTCTTGCAGCTTGAACCCGAACACCTGTGTGAGAATGCAGAGATACACGGGGTAAAATAAGAGAATGACTGTCTTTGGCTTTTCAAATGTGAGTTTAATGCCTGCTTTCCTAACTGCATGAGAGATTTAAACTGCAGGATAACATGCATTCTTGAAAAAAAGTCTGTAACTGACACATCTGAGGGGTGCTTGCGCATTTAACCATTAAACCTGTACAAATCCATCTTAACGTTAAATTTGCCAAACTATAAGCGAGGTGTGAAAGCTAAGAAATGCCAGGTCCGCATCAGCGGCTACTGGAGAATCAAGCTTTTGTCTACGATCACATTTTTTGCCCTTTTCTGATTTAATTACATCATCTGTCTTGAATGCATGCCAGTTAAATACTGAGAAGTTTAAAGACAATCAGCTATAACTCACTTGACAGTTTTCTTGAATTCTATTCTTCTTGATAGACTTCGGTATAGTGACAACTCCATTCTGAAAAATGGGGTGATAAAACCAGGATTATTTACGTGTACAGGACCACTGGCAATTTCAGAGGAAATGTTCCCAATGTAACAACCTGAATGCTCCAGCGGATGCAGATCTGAGCTGGTGTTCGTGCATGCTTCTTTGCAATCTGGTTAATAATGGGACAGTTGAAGACTTGGCCCTTTGCCAAAGGACTGTACCCTTCAAACACAATCCCTTCCTTACGGCAGTAGTCCATCAGGTGACTGGGCTGCTGGAAAGGATGATACTCAACCTGAAGAATAAAACCAGACCAGAACTTTTTTTAAACTGCACACAAAATTAGCATATACAGCCATGGCCAAAAGTTTTGAGAATGATTCAAATGTTAATATTTACAAAGTCTACTGCTTCAGTTTTTATAACGGCAATTTGTATATACTCCAGAATGTTAAAAAGAGTATTCAGCACAACAGCAATTAATTGCAAAGTCAATATTTGCCTAGAAAATTAACTTTATCCCCCAAAACACATTTCAACGTCATTGTTGCCAAAATGGCTCCAGGGCGCCCAACAAAGACCAGCAAGCGCCAGGACCGTCTCTTAAAAGTGTTTCAGCTGCGGGATCGGGCTACCAGCAGTTCAGAGCTAGCTCAGGAATGGCAGCAGGCAGGTGTGAGTGCATCTGCACGCACTGTGAGGCCGAGACTCCTGGAGCAAGGCCTGGTCTCATGGAGGGCATCAAAGAAGCCACTTCTCTCCAGTAAAAACATCAGGGACAGACTGATGTTCTGCAAAAGGTAAAGGGAGTGGACTGCTGACGACTGGGGTAAAGTCATTTTTTCTGATGAATCCCCTTTCCCATTGTTTGGGACGTCTGGAAAACGGCTTGTTCGGAGAAGACGAGGTGAGCGCTACCACCAGTCTTGTCTCATGCCAACTGTAAAGCATCCTGAAACCATTGATGTGTGGGGTTGCTTCTCAGCCAAGGGAGTCAGCTCTCTCACAGTCTTACCTAAAAACACAGCCATGAATAAAGAATGGTACCAGAATGTCCTCCGACAGCAACTTCTCCCAACCGTCCAAGATCAGTTTGGTGATGAACAATGCCTTTTCCAGCATGATGGAGCACCTTGCCATAAAGCAAAGGTGATATCTAACTGGCTGAAGGAACAAAACATAGAGATGTTGGGTCCATGGCTTGGAAACTCCCCTGATCTTAATCCCATTGAAAACTAATGGTCAATCATCAAGAGACGGGTGGAAAAACGAAAACCTAGGAATTCTGACAAAATTCAAGCATTGATTGTATTTCTGTATGTGATGACAACATCTGACATACACACATGAAAACCAGAGGGCAGCAGATCATGTGTAAATATAATAATTGTGTCATTCTCAATACTTTTGGCCATGACTGAACATTTATATATAGTGAGACAGACGCAGGAATGTAATTTAAGCAGCCAAATGTATGTTTTGCCATTTCTCTGAAATATAATTTTCCTGAGCATCCTCTGGCAAAATTTAAAAAAAGAACAGAAAAAGGAATAAAGTACCTGGTTAACATGTGGCACCACACTACAGCTGTCCTTTAACTCCTCCAGGTGGTGAACCAGAAAGTTACTCACTCCAATTGCACGACACACCCCTACAATGGCAGATATATTTAGCTCTGTAAAATATAAAACTCTTTTGCTTCTATAAGATATGTTGTTTAATAAAGTTACAGTCATAGTCCTGCAGTCATTTAAAAATAACTAACTAAAACACTGAATGTAATGTTTTAATGCAGCTCTGAAAATAGCTGCAGGACCAATAGAACTGTTTACCATTACTATAATGAAACCAACAATTACCTTCTTTGTAAAGCTCCTCCAACGCTCTCCAAGTTTCAGCTCTCATCTCTGAATTAGAATAACCAGGTTTCAGGGATTCTGGCCAGTGCATCAGGTAGAGATCTGAGAAAGGACACCAGCATGTGGTTACAGAAAAGACAGAAAGGACAAACCATCGATATTTAATACCTTTCATACCAAAGCCAAAACACTTTCACAGACAGTGTTTCTGGGATGTCAGCATTTAGGACTGCAGTATACATAATGTGGGAAATGTAACTTTAAGATGCATCTCTTAATTACATCCAATACCAAAATAGTCAACTCCCATCTCAGAGCAGGAATCCAGGCAGGCCTTTTTTGTTGCTTTGTATCCGTAGTCCCCGGGCCACAGTTTGTTGGTTAGCCACAGATCATCTCGTGAGAGCCCACTTTCTTGAATTGCTTTTCCCAGTTTCCTCTCACAGCCGTAGCGCTTTGCGGTGTCAATGTGGCGCACGCCACAATGAGTGAGCGCGAAGACCACAGCATCATGAGAGTAGCCACCATCATGGGACGTGCCTACAGATCAAATCAGAACCATTACCTTATGCATATATGCAAAAATGATGTAAACTCAGTTAAAATAAAACATGCTTTTTGGAAATCTAGAAATAGTGTTTGAAGATTAGTTTGGAACATGAAAAGAGAAAGAAAAGCAAAGATTTAGCTGTAGGTCACACTGTATGAGGAATGGGATGTTCTTCACTATAAGTCATCATAATCCCTACTCCTGAATTCTGAAATTTGAGAATTAGTTCTGGAATTAAAATGACACAGTTGAATATGTGTTTTTCATTTTCTAACTAATTTTACAGCTTTTAGTGTCATATTCTATATGTCTATCATACAGTCCATTCCCAAAAGTAAAACATACCTAAACCAAGTACTGGGATTTGTAGACCATTGGACAGTTGGACAGTAGGGCAGTTAAAGTCTGGAACTGAAGTCATGCTTCTTCTTTGGATCCTGCTGAGTAAAAGCAAGAGTTGGACTTTGTTTACGGCGACGTACACAGCAAGAACATTGCTAGAAAAGTGATACTGTTTGACTTACGTAGTTTTCTGGAAACGGTCGAATTTTCAGGTTTTGATCCACCTTGTTATGGAAGTGTGTTTTGCAACCCGACTATGACACATTTCGGAGGCGGAGATTTGTCTGCAAGGAAAACATAAATTACGGTTAATGTTTCGAACTACAAAAATGGCGTCGGTTTCCCAAGAAAACAAAAATGTGCATAAGATAAACATGATTCTAGACAAAGCATGCAGAGTAATACAAAAGTGTTTTGGATCAAATATATCATGTTTAACGCATTTTTTTTTTCAGTTTAGGGGAAATTCACTTTGTGACCGCGTGTTAATGTTAGTGTATTTGGTTGTCCAGCCGGTGGCCCTGCTGGACCTTCCAGAGTGTACCCTGCCTCTCGCCCATTGAGCACTACGATAGGCTCCAGTACCCCATAAACGCACTGATTTTGTCCAATAATATTTCAAATATCACCCTACAAGCTCCACCCACTTATCCTATTGGTCACCTCTGGCAGCAAATCCACAGTTTTTCTCCCCTAAAAATTTGGTTCTTAGCCTATGGGTGACGTCACTTGCGCTGTGCTGCCAACATGGCGACCGTGTAATGTGGTTCAAATGTGTGGAGCATCAACAAAATGAGGTGAGTTTTCCTTTACGGGCTGAAACTAAACAGTGCTTACGGTTGCATAAAGTAAAACACACACTAAGGGGTGCTGTTGACTGTTGAGTGAAAAGTTATACGACTGTCTTGCTATTTCGAAACTTGACATTTTAGGGGCGTGAAAACAGAGTTTGTACGTCTATTCGCGGCTGAGTTGTCGGTGCAGCAGGCTGTAGTTATTCTCACTTGAATAAGTTGCTCTCACAGTTATTCTCGCTGAATAACCCGGGTTGTATACACACGTTTGTTTCATCCTTCTGTGCAGGCTGTCCCGTTGCTTCAATTTGGTTTTGGTTCGACGAAAGTGCATCATCTTTCCGATACTGCTGATCCTGTTGGTCGGTGCTTCTCTGACCTCCCTGCTGCCGTCTGCTGAGGAGCATGGAGGTGCTGGGGTCCTGGGAGTGCTCCGCAGGGCAACCACACAAAAGAGGAGCCCTGGAGACGGCCATGGCTTCGAAAACTCAGAGGACAAGTTTACCATCATCATTCAAACCTACAACCGTACAGACATCTTACTTAAACTGCTCAACCACTACCAGGCGGTGCCTCATCTTCAGAGGGTTATCGTGGTCTGGAATAACGTGAAGGAACAGACGCCGGTGAAGTTATGGGACTCCTTGGGCCCTCATCCCGTCCAGGTGGTCTTTAAAGAGCAGAGGAGCAATCTAATGCGCAATAGATTGCAACCATTCCCTGAAATTGACACTGATGGTCAGCATATCTATCCATGTCACAATGCACGTTGAAGTGGCTTTCAAATGTCTATCCCACATTTGTGACAAATTTGTTAAGTGTTTCTTGGATTTTATTTATGTATCTCTTTTAGCTGTGTTGATGCTGGATGATGACACACTGGTTAGTGTTCCTGACCTCATTTTTGCCTTTTCTGTCTGGAAGGTAATGAGCATCGTTGATAATTATTATATCCAAACTGCTTTAAGCACTTCTACTAAACCATATTTGGATAATTTGACAGCATCAAACATTCTCTGGTTGACTCAAACAAAATTCAATTACTTTATCTCCACAGCAATTTTCCGACCAAATCGTTGGCTTTGTTCCACGGAAGCACGTCTCGACAGGGGGGGTGTTCAGCTACGGCAGCTTCGAGCTGCAGGACCCAGAGACGGCGGGGGGGGACCGGTCAGTTGTTCCTCTTTTGCTCCTGTGCGTCTTCTGCCTGGCTGCTTGTTCCGTGTGGCCTCATTGTCACGCTCTTCCCCTGCAGGTACTCCATGGTCTTAATTGGCGCAGCTTTCTTCCACCGCCGCTACCTGCAGCTCTTCCAGGACCAGCCTCAAGCCGTCCGAGACCTGATCGATGAAACGCAGAACTGTGACGACATCGCGGTGAACTTTGCCGTGGCGCTTTATTTAAAAAGCGCTCGACCCTCTGGGGTGTTTGTCAAGCCCGTGGACCTCCGCAACCTGGAGAAAGATGCCAGCAGTGGATACCAGGGGATGTGGAACCGTCCCGAGCACCTTCTCCAGAGGTCCTACTGTCTGAACAAGCTGAAACAGATCTATGGAGTCATGCCGCTCTGCTACTCCAATATAATGTTCTCCCAGTTTGGTTTCCCGAACTATGCCAATCACAAGAGCAGGGGCTGACAACGGGCCTAATTTCTGCCTGTTTTCGGCTGATTTAGTCACAGCTCAGGGTTCAGTTTGGTAAGTATATTTGGTTCATGCTGAAATTCTACATCTTGTTTGGTGGTATTCTACTTGATTTATAAAAAAATGTCAGTGCCTTCAAATTGACAGATTTTGTTCTTTCTTTTGTTTAGTCTTTTATATTCCCGAACATTGTCAGACGTCAGTTGATTGGAAGTTTGTGGACTTACGTTTTTCCTGGATAAAACACAGTATTTGAAATCAGTAATAATTAGCTGTGGGAAAACGTCCTTTTCCTCAGTGCGCTTAGTGCATTTAACTCACTCTTAAATCAGAAGATGTTGGGCTGAGAAGCACTTTCCACTTGTATCTAAACGTGATCATAAAATGCACAGAAATAATAAGATAAGAGCTTTATTGATCTCACAGTGGAGAAATTCACTACTATTACACAAACATCCTTGGACTAAAAGGTAGGTCTGTGATTAAAATCTAACAATTGATAATGGTAATATGTAAAAAAAAAAATAATATTCTAATGTATGTTTCCTGTATGTGCAGACCATTTTCAAACGGTTACATTTGTTATTATAAATGTCTGATGTGATTCAATTCAATAAAGATTCTCTTTATAGGATCAGAGCCGGTGACAGAATTTTAATTGAAGCTTCTTGGAAGCACTGATGTAGAAGTGCATTTAATAAAAACAAATAAATAAAAAAAAGACTCCATATTGTTGCTTTTAATTTCTGACCAAATATGGCTCCAATTTTTGCCCTCTTCTGCATTGGGTTGTCATTCATTTAAGTTCACAACCCTAAGAGGACGCTGCCAAATGCCCAAAAAACTAAACAAAAGATTTTGGTAAAGCCGCAGAATTAAACTTGAATGAATGTATCCTCCTCAGGCCATTACTGTTTTTATATCAACAACCTGACTCACAAACCTTTACCTGTCAAGGCTCTTGCTTTTTCAAAAGTTTAGTTAAATAAAGCCTAACAGAAGTTGATTAATCTGCAGCTAAACGTTAAGATATCTGTGGATTAGACTTCCCTCTCATCTCCACAATAGAGAAATCGTGTTACTGAACTGCAGTTTTAATGACATAAAATCTGATTTTCTCAATCACTTTATATGATTGCCAAGGTTTCCTGTCCATCAAAAGCTGGACAACTATAACATTTTTATTTTAAGGATTAAACATCTCTGCAATACGAACAGAAGGGAAAGTTAGGCTTTAATTTGATATAAAGCTTAGTACTTCTATTTTAGGAAGGTTAGCAAAGTACACATGATTTTACATTTACAAAAGAAAAAACACTAATTGTGCATTGCAGCAGCAGCACCTGATAATTGTCTGTTAAAACACCCATGTATTGTTAAAAGTTCCTTCATCAACCTTAGAAAACAATATGTAGATGGGAGACGTCCTAAATATTAGAGCCAAAGCCAAATGCAAAGTTTAAGCAATTTGGGCTTCATCCCTGATTTCCGAGGAGTCTTATGTCAGTGTACATTCACAGCCAGCCCAACCTTCATAAATACACTGTGCTGTACCCGGGTAAAATGATCTGAGGTTAAACCTCTTGCGTCTCCTCAGCCATAGTATGCTCCAGACTGCTGTGTTTGGTTCTCTGGTGATGTAGACTTATGATGGAATAAAATACTGGGCTACAGACAATTTGGTTTAGGTTTCTACCTCCCCTTTGTGTGAATTTGGGAGACATTCGACATGAATAAAACCACAGACAAAACACACTGAAGTAGGTTTTAAAAAAGCCAATATGGCCTAATTAATGTTTTGTTTTTTTAACATCACCAATAAATCATCTTAACTCTGATCTGTACCTTTGGATGGAGAACTATATATATATTTATTGAACAGCACACTCCATATCAAGGGATAAAAATGTCCTTACTCTAAGGTAAGCAAAATTCTTTTCCTTTAAAAGGGATTCCATTTCCTATTGTCCAGGTCCTCCACCACCGTCACTGGGTCCAGGCCTACCACCAGGACTGGATCCTCTGGTGCTTGGGGAACGCATATCATGCCACATCTTCACGAGGGGCTCCCTCTTTCTCCAGATGAGTTTGTGTCCGTACGCCACATACCATCTGCAGGACAAAACAACACAGAGATGTTTCAAATGAAGCCACACAGACAGTCGGCCAGGGGAGTAAAGATGCCCAATAAAAAGTTGTGTTACCTTAATACTAGTTGTTGTTTTTAAATAGCTGAAGCAAAGGTCACACTTATCTGCTTTTTAGAGAGTTCTTAATGATCACATGATCAAAGTTAGATACTAAGACCATGTGAAAAGTAAAACTGAGGAGCTGATGGGTTTATAAAGTAAACAGATAGACAAAAGACTATATGCTTACTTTCTGAGATCTGAACTACTAAACGTTGGCGACTCACATTCCAAAAAGGGCTCCACCAAGGTGAGCAGCATGGTCAAATATCCGCCATCCCAACAAAAGCCCAGCCGCATCTATTGCCACGAGCGCTTTCAGAGCCTACAGACAAACCAGAGAAGTCCAGGCTTCACTCATTTCAGCACTTTTTTCGTACATGCACACATTTTCAGCATTTTATAAATAACAGACACATAAACGCACACAAAATGTTCCCGACTCACATTTCCTGCTGTGAAAGAGACCATGGGAAGCAGGATTATGCCGAGTTTGGCCTCGGGTACTTTAGCACAGACTGCAGCGAGCACTGCCATGACGGCACCTGACTGGTGATAAAATACAGTTACTGGTTGCAATCTACTCCGTCAAGGTAACCATGTTTGAAGAGTTAAGACGTATCTTACCGCTCCAAGTGACGGGTAGAGTCTCCCGGTGGCTGTTTTACACATGTAACTGACCATAGTGGAAATCACACCTAGGAATACATCCAGTAAAGAAGTTAAGAAAATAAAATCAGAACAGGCTGAACCATCTTGTTTACCATGACCTCTTCTGAATAGAATAAAATAAAGCATCACAATACACAAAGTACCCGGACTTCCATAATGTTTCATTTGCAACTAAAAGGAAAAAAGGTGAAATTTAAACCCGTCAGGAAGCATCACACATACAAATCTGTACAGGCAGGATGAACGTGAGACTCAAAGGAAGAAAAAATCTATAGTGGACTATTCAAGCGCACACACTGTCAGCTGAAAGCGAGAGGTAATTCGATTCTGGGACGAAGGGTTTAAACATCCAAATATTTTTGCATTACTGAAAACTGTGGCTTAAATGCATGGAGAGGTTTGGTAACAGAAGCTGGTAAAAAAAAAAGGATGCATTTCTGCATAAGTCCCAGGTTTAAATGACCGTTTGGGACACCTCTCTGCCAAACAAGGACAGAAAAGGAGGGTGACCTGAACATGAAACTAAAGAAGGGCAATGGGAACCGCAAGGCCACACACAAACAAACAAAAGACACAACAACGCACTCATACACACTCTCCAAAGGGCAATTTTGATTCTGCAGTTAACCTAACATGCATATCTTCAGAATAGTGAAGAGTGAATAGGGAGCCTGAGTAACCCAGGAATGCAGATTTGAAGAGCAAAGGCCTGTGGCCTGGAACCAAGAGGATCAAACTAAGAAGCGTCTTGCTTTGAGGTCAGGTGCTAACAGCCAAACCACTGTGCAGCCCAACATTATGGTCCACATTCGTAGGACACTGGACTTATGCATATTGCCTGAAAGGGTTACATTTTCTTAAGAATAAATACCTGACAGTGTGATTTTTTAAATGTGCTTAACACTAAAAAAAATGTGTTCTTATATTATATATTTGATTACATAGGTTTAGTTCTAATCTAAAGATGTATTTCAAGTTGGTACATGTTACCTACATCCTTCTCTTTATTTAACTCACCAGCAGAGAGGTAGACTGCGAGAAACTGCTCTTTTCCTAAGAGAGAGACGATTCCAGAAGAGAATGTCCATAGGACATACATGTTGGCTATCATGTGGATAATGGAGTAGTGGCTGAAGGAGGACAGGACCATGGGAAGGCACTGTGTTTCTAGTAAGGAAAAGACAAAAAAGCAAAAAACGTACACAATGGAGACGTAAAGAGCATTTAATCGTGACCAGTCAGCCAAGCTGAAAAAAAACATTCAATCATCGGAACGGTAATGTCCCACTTAAACTAACTTAAACTAACTAACTAAAAATGCATAGAATTTCACAAAAACAGAGCAAACTTACTGGAGGCTGGATTGGCTGTGAAGTACTTTAACATAGTTCTCTGCATAGATGGGACCCGCCAGCAACACAGGACTGCAACGTTTACAGCAATAATACCTGGAAACGATTTAAAAAGTGAATATATAGATGTTACCATTAGTCGTGTTCAAGAAAGGCACAATGACAATGAAAGAGAGGCTACCTGTAACTGTCTTTTGTCCCTCTGTGAGGCTATTCCAGAAGTCATCCACCACTGACATAAGGAGGATAATCTGTCGTTGGAAGTTGGAGAGCTGATTCCACCAGTCATGCCAGTAGGCCGTGTCTTGGGAGCCCTGGTACATTACAGCAGAAGCTATAAGGAGCATGCCAGGGTAGCAAAGTACAAAGGGCCGGTGCCGGTTCTGTTAAACACTCACCATCATTAGCTTCTCTAACTCCTCTCCATCTTTTGCAGCCTGAACTCTTGACTTTAGGGTCTCATACTGAAGAATGGCCGCCGCGCCAAAGGAGCAGCCTGTAAACTGGAATGGAGTTAGACAGCATCCACCAACATCTTTCCATCTTGAATCTCACTTCAGCAAGCATCAAACTCAAAGTCCGAACCCCTCGGCTTTTAACTTGAGCCTTGGTTCATCAGATCTGCTCTGACTCGCAGCGCCATGACAACAGAACCACTGCGGGTGTCCTGTGATGATGGGAGACTAGCCGTGGATGAACTAGTCCCACAGGTTGTAACATCACATTCCACAGATGGAGCTGTCAGTGCTTTCAGTCTAGTGTTAATTCTGTGACTCCAACACATTTTCTGATAGTTCCTTTGAAAGAAATGAATTACCGGGGCACGTACCCCTACGGTGAACACCAGCGGTCGGAAAAGCTTCGGCCTTCGGACTTTGGGAGGAGGTAGAGGCCCCGGTGTGCCAGTTTCAGGGGCTTTTGTTTCTTGGGGGACATTTTCTTTCTTGGTATCAGTCTTTTTGGCTTCCCGACGGAAACCACACCTTTGCTGGTTGTAGTGGTTGAGTCTATCAGAAGAATCAGTTTTACTGGTTAGATGCACAAACATCTGTGTACCTAAAGAATAAGCCGTGTCATAGGAAAAGCTGTGAATGTTGAGGAAGTAGTAATGAATAGATTAACACAAAGTCTAAGCTCCTGATACCCTTTGGTGCATACTCAGAAACAAGGGGACCTTGACAAATTTGTTTAATTTGAGGAATAAAATGAGAAAAAAAACAAGCTTGACCTTAAATAATTAAAGTTGCATTGCTTACAGAATCAAGAATTAGTTCCATATAGCTACGACACAACTTTACATCAGCTGGCAGCAGCAAGTCATTTAATTCAGTCCATTTATAAGCACACTATGAGCTCATTCATATGGTGTATACTTCACGTGTTATTTGTAATATTTCAAATGACAGACTACTGAATGGTACTAAAGCAATGGCCGAACTCCTTTTAATTAATTTTTTTAAAATTAACAAAGTAAAATGACAAATACAGTTTAATTGGTACGTTTTACACAGGCTAGCTGCTCTGGTTAAACCCTTCTACCATTGGCTATATTCAGTGAGCTACACGTTTAGCGGAACACACAATGCAGTGCTGGTCAGCTAATACCAACAATAAAGTGACAAAAACTGTAACAGTGATTGTGCAAGTCCCGCAGGCCATTTTCGGAATACAAAACAAACATAGGAGTCTTTAGCTCCATTTACAATGACAGTTGGAACGGTTAGATAACCTCACACCGCTGGACGGGAGGGCACAACACACACACTTCCTGTCAGCGCTTTTCTGATTTACACGACTCTGCTGTCAAAAACTATGCTTTGTTTGCTCACCTTGAGCTTCGTGAAATGGTGTTCTGGGATCTAATGAACTCTGTTTTGGCCCATTTCATAACAGATCCTCTCCACGCCATGGTTGTTGTGACCTCCTGGATGAAACCCCTCCCACTGACTGGAGCTTACGCTGCCTTGTGCTGCTTTGTGCTGCCTTCATGGACACACGAAAAAGCTCCGATTTTTGTACCTTAATATTCACAGGACTTTACCCACCCATCCATTTGATATATATTATATATATATTTTTAAATATATCTATTTTTTATTTTTATTTTTTTTATTTTCATTCTTTTTATTTTGTAATTTCTATTCTATCTGTAAATACATATATATACATATATACACACACACATATATAACCTTTTGTTATCGTTAGCTTATTAAAAAAGATAAATGGTGGATAATAATTGCAATAAGTAAGCAACCTATTCAACCTTCTTTAACCTCATTCGACTTCAGCATAGTTTTAGCTGGAAACACTGCTCAACAATTAAACAGGTCTAAATACAACAATCAGTTGTTATCACATGTCTCAGCTCTTCAACATATTCTTTATTGAAAATATGAAACTTTCAAAATCAATAAAATGTTTGCTTCCTCCAGATATTGAAATGTATTCCAAGGAGAGAAGACCAAAGGGTAATTTGACGCACAAACTCCTTCAGTAAATGAAAATAAATAAATAAATAAATAAAAAACAACATTCTATTCAAACATTTTCCCCCTGCAACAATTATAATATTTGCAATATTGCTGATTTTTTAAAAATTCTTGAATATACATAAAAATGTAGACTGACAATTTGATTATAAACATATATATTTATAATATTTCATAGAAGGTAAAAACAAACAAAAAACAGAAAGTGTGGGGGGATCACTTCTGGTTTTGGTCCACACCATAAAACCCAAATTATAGAAATAAACTATATGAACAATGTTGATAGATATAGAAATAAAATTCCTTTTGCTTTCCTTTTATCTTCTGTTAAAAAATCTGTAAACACAGTATTAAAGGAAACCTCTTTACAATACTTGAGAGCAGTTTTGAAAGCACAGACAGGTGCTATTGGCAGCTGGACAAGTTCCACAAAGTTTTTGCACACTTGCTTGTGACTCCAAGAATAGATAAGGGAGGTAAAAATTGCAGTGAGAGGGCTGCACTGCAGTGTCTGTAGAGAACTCCCGTTCATAATCAGCACTTGCTGTTTTGCCGCACAATTCAATATACAGAAAACTGCTTTAATTGAGCCATAAAATAATAAATGCTTCGGAGAAGCAACACAAGGAGTTCATCTAAACTGAAGGACACAAGGCATGCTGTTGGTATATCACATTAAACATATTCTGAGCTGAATAAAAAATCAAAGTTACAGAAAAGAAGGTGTGTTGCAGATTCAGGGCAAAGATAGAGAGTGCAAAGAAAGGAGAGCAATATGCCTTTGTCACTGTATGGACCAAAGGCACACTGCCAAGTCAGATGATATCCTCTTGGTGCAGGTTTTGGGCAGGGGAGGACACAGAAGTGGGAGTCAGAGGAGGATGGATGGAATGAGTAGAGGAGGGAAAGGAGGGTCTGCAACAATACTAATGAGCACAGATCAGGTCGAGGTAAGAGGCCACTCATGGAAACAGAAAGAAAGCTGTGAAATAAAGTTTCAAATCAAAATGATTGAATATGTGCTCGAATACATGTTGCGGTGTCATAAACAGTCCATTCAACTGTATTTGATTCTGTGCGACTCTAGAATTCCTTCTGATCAATGCATTTTTTTAACCTAACTGAGGTGTCTTCTTTCAGGTCCTCTCATCTCTCATTGATTCTCTGCAAACTGATGCTAGGCGTTTGCTGGCAGTAGGGCATGAATTGGTTGGTGGGCTGACTGAGTATGTCGAAAAAAGAACAACTTGTCACTTGTGTATGACAACCATTTTTCTTATTACAACTATTTCCACATACATATAACAGCCAACTCATCGATTCTCCTCTTGGATTTGTGCTGAGACATGGATCTAAACACACATGACGCTGAAAATAATTTGGCCTTGAGGCTTCTATTTCAGCAAAAAGTCTGGAAACATCCAATACCAGCAGCACACTCTTTTTATACCACCAGAGGAAACTCTAGCTGTTGTCATGGCGTCCCATCAGTGTGCTGACAGAGCGGTTTCTAAGACACTGATCAATGAGGAAGTTAGGTAATACCACACTTGCTCTCAGCATTACCCTGCACAGGTTTTGCAACTCGTTGGTCAGCATATGATTGTGGTAATCTCTGGACAGCTGTCTGCATAATTGCATGAATCAGACAATGATTTGTTTTATCTGTCTGACCCAAAAATACCACAGAAAACATCCTGCATCAGGAAAGCATCATCCTCTCACTTCTCTATCAGGACCAAGAGGATTGTGATAATTGAGTTGAAGTTGAATTCATTTTAGAATGGACAGTGGCGGGGGGCAATTTTAATGAATATGTGAAAAGCATAGACTGCATCTTTGGGTTCATGTCTGCCCACGTAGTTCATACCAACACAGTTTGATTAAACAAACTACAAAGTTCCATTGGTGCCTTTTGCACAAACCCATCACATTGGAACGTTTACCTCGATCTGAATGTACCGCAATTGTGTAAGCATCTGAATTCCAATGCAGCATGATCAAATAACAGTAGCAATGTAGCATCAAATATCCAGGACAAAATATTGATTTGATTCCTAGATTAAATATTGATAGTCATAAGCAAAAGCAAATGTGACATTGGGTGGGGTAACAAGGTACATAATGATGTCAGCTAATGTGAAAGGAGGGAGTGATTCGAAGTACAAAAACTTAAATAATTTTGATCTAAGAATACAAAATCATGATTTCAGTGTTGCATGTGCTATAGCATTACTTAATCTATTTAGTTGATAAATTAAAACATGGAAATCCAATAGATACAAACGTGTTGTTGCAGTTTAAACCTGATAATTAAGCAGTTTTGTTTCAGAAGTAAATAAAAACAGAAAATATAATCAGAAATCACAAAGTAGTAGTATTACAAAAAATAACAAATGAAAAAGATTGAACAAAAAATGTGGTAAAACTTATTTAGTCTATACTGTTTGGCAGGGTTATTTCCCCCTCCCTGTATTTCTTCAATAAATCAAGGTGCACACGCTTCATCCGCTCACCCCTGCAAGACACCCAAGTCCCACCTCCCCCCCCTTCCCTCCCTCCCTCCCTCTTTACCTGAGTCCTCAGCATACCTTACTCTGAAAACACCACTGGTGAAGGCAGCACGCGCTCCCTCAAACGCTCTGCAGTTACTGCCGTTCCGGCTAAATTTAAAGAGAGAAAAAAAGAAAAAAAAAGGCGTGTGCGCAGGATATCATTTAACCAGATATTATAAAACACAAACAACGTGCCTCATTCTGCTGTTCTGTCCCGACTGAGGAGACAGGCAGACCCCTCCATCACTTCAACCTGCCTCTCTACCCAACTTCTGGAAAGCACAGGGACATGGGGGATAAAAACGCCGGTAAGAAACTTGCATGTGCTTGCTGATGAAGAATTATCTTATTATGTGTTTATGGGGTTTTGTAGTAGTAGTTGGGGCGTAGCAATTGCTCATTTAGTTCATGTTAGTTTTGATATTTTTTTATGAATTGAAGGACAGATTGCGGAACGCACTAAATAATTTTGGGGTTGTTCTGGTGTGTACAAATAAACAAATAAAAGCCAAAAACAGCCGGATGTGCTTAGAGGAAAAATGCTTAAACTTGCTCGGGGGAATCGACAAATGCAATGTCCACAGCCGGACCACCACATTCCTCTGCGGTGCAGCGCGATGCTGCTGCTGCCGTTTCGCTGCGTCCCTTTGACGTGCACCCTTACTTTCCCAGACCTAAATATTATGCGGTATGCATTCGTTCTACTCGTAAATTAATTTGCACCGAATACCGGATGTAACTTCTGTGAAAATATTTTGCCTGCATGATTTCCTCCCCCTCTCCTTACCCCGGGAGAGTTGCGCAGGGTAAACGTTTCTAGTCTCCCCGGTCCCTGCTTCATTTTACTGTGTCGTTGCTGTCAGCTTATTTAGACAAAAACTGCTGCCTCTCCACTTTCACCGGTGAGGTGTGCGTGTGTGTGTGTGTGTGTGTGTGTGTGTGTGTGTGTGTGTGTGTGTGGGCTGCTGCTCCCCCGTGCAGCGGCGGAGTGGCCTCTGCGATCAGCATGCGTATTGTTGACAAAGCTTTTCAACTGTTAATGTTACATTGGAGAGCTAAATCTACTGCATTGGGGGGAAAAAACAGCCTAGATGTTGCTTTGGAGTCATACCCAGTGTATGTATAGCTACCCACACCACCACGCACTTTTGCCACTATGTGGCTAGTTGGGGTTGCGTTGCAGTGTTATGCAGTGGTTTTTAAAGATGCATGGGGTTAAAGCAAAACCCTTTTTTTGGAGAAAAGGTTGCTTGTCCTTGATTAAATAGGGCAACCTGTCCTGTTTTACCCAGAGTTTACTGGAAATGTAATGTTTAGCTGGGGACATCAAGTAACCTCAGCAGTATCTGACAAAGTTAAATGCAAGTTATAAAGTTTAGACATGCAACCATCTAACCCTAACCCCTAACTCTTGGATCTGCAGAGTTCTTGGCCTTGTGTACACTGAAAAGCCTTCATTTAAAACAATGTCAAAATGTTGTTTCAGAGTGTTTTTATCTTTTTGTTCTGACGGGCATTACAAAGTAGTAGTCGGATTGGACAGTGCAGGTATTTTGGACATATGTCCATGGTGCACATTTATGTTTATGCATCTTATTTAGGATTTAGAAGTGAAAATCTACATGAGATGTTAATTCTGTTTTATAATCACATCAGTCACGTGTCTTATATCTGTGAGAAATAAGAGCAGCTCAAACTAATCAGTCTTAAATGTTGAGGCAATATCCTTTTGAATGGATTAAGGTAAAAAAAAAATGTATTCATTACGTATTCCACACGTAATGTACACATTAGTTCATATGATGGGCCATGATGACATCAAGGTGCTTACTCCCTACTTTTGTTTCGTTACTATAGGGAGCAAGAACATTTTTTGTTTTTACCCATTAGGATATTATTCATGAACATGCTAAACAATTTAAACGTTGCTCATTTTATTCACTTATTGTGACATAAAGCCCCATCATTCCGTGCATCTGTGCACTTTGAACTTGAAGCATGAAGCTTGGGGACGATCCCAAACAGTTTTACTGTCACTACCAAGCAGATATAAAAACCTCTTCCAAGCTGCAGCTGATTAATTTATTTTCTTCAAGCTATCACATCCCCTACCTTTTGAATCCCATCTAAATGTGTTGTCATAATGTTAGCTATCCTGTTAAGCAGCTGCTCTATAATAAAGAGAGCTTCCGTGGCAGTGTTATGAAATTCAGCTAATTTGATGGCGATGTCACTAAAAGAAAGATTTGAAAAGCTGATTGCCCCTTTTTGTGCTATGATGCTGATCTGTTATCTGTTGTGGGTTCCTTGTTGCTGGGGTAATGTTCACAAACTGAGCCCCTAACCTCAAGTTTGCACACTTGTCAATTTGCAAAAGGTTCTAGGCAGCTCTACTTGCTGCCAAGACCTTGATCATTAACAGTTTTGAAGGGCTCGGCATGCCCTCCTTTAGGTTTGCAGAATAGGAGAATGCTTTCTGATTATTCAGCAAATAGTTCTGTACTGTTTTAACATACAGTGTCTAGTTTATTACCTCCAACTGACACAAATCTCCTCTTGTGTGTGCATCAGCTGCTTTGGCTGAGCAGAAATGGATGTTTATGGAATTTTTCGTTTTAGATAAACACATTTAAAAACTTCAAATGAGATTAGTCTATGGTCATTTCAGGTTTGTTTCAATACATCCAGGTACATCTTTGCTGATGAAAGTGCAATCATGTAGTGTTTCATACAGGTCACTGTGAATAGCTTGTACTGCACAATCACTCCAGAAATATGCCATAACAAAGCAACAAAGTGCAGAGGCGTCCACATCCAATGGAAAAAATTAAACAAAATACCACACCGTTTTCATCAGGATAAAAGCGGACAAAGTCATATACTGTAGGTGATAAAAAAAAACATAAACCAAAACTTGATGTTTACAGCAGTGGATTAGACTTTTATAGTACTGAGAGATTCAACAAGTCAACTAGGAATATGAACCAGCAAATGAGCACAGGTGACATAAGTAAACACGTCAAGAGACAAATTGAAACGGTAGTTATATATGTATTTTGCACAATATGCTGAAAAATCCCAAACCAAAGTATCTAAGATAGCTCAATGACAAAAGGCAAAAGTATATGCAGCAGTAAACATACATTTCTAAGTTAGGACCAATCTGACCTCAGCCAGAACATTTTCAACTGGATGACTAAAACAACAAATGATATGTGTCTCTTCATACGTTTTGCAATGATTTGTTTTCCTCATCCAGAATGCCCCATTGTGGGCAGCTCTGCTGTAAACACTTAAAAATAACTGAGTCATCCACACAGTTTGTGGGTTAGCTTTTTACCATTTTATCAGCACTGACCACTTAAATGTAATTATTGATCAATTTGATCAGATAAGAGTGAATTTATTTGTGAGAAAAAAAAAACTAAAATTGAATGATTGATAACTAATTCAGTCATTTTTATAAATCCGTATGAATACATTGGAAAAACCTTGGGCCTGGATCATTAAATCACTATTCTGGCTCATTAAAAATTCTTGCAGATTTGTTCTATGTAAAATCTGTTTTCTTTCTTTCTTTCTTTCTTTCTTTCTTTCTTTCTTTCTTTCTTTCTTTCTTTCTTTCTTTCTTTCTTTCTTTCTTTCTTTCTTTCTTTCTTTCTTTCTTTCTTTCTTCTCCAGTCTGTTGGAGAGCAATGTGTAATTTATGAGGGATAGAATGTTTTGGTGTTGTGTCAACTCTCCATGCTGAGTGTAATCTAGAAAACTGAATGACACATCTCTGTTGTGTTGTGCATTCATTTATTCAAAACGATGACAAATCAATGCCCTTTGTTGTTGAAGCCAACATTTCATTTTTTTAATTGGTTGAGGTGAAATATGGTTGCAGAACCGAACCGCTCATCTGGTGCGTGGTTGGTTTAATGTTCTTGCTTGACTCTGGGAGGACAGTGTGCCTCTGTGCCAGAGGAGTTAAAGTATATATATATATATGTGTGTGTGTGTGTGTAGCTCTCTGACTCAGTGTTTTATCTTATACTGTACTCTAGTGGCAACGGTGGCACATTACCCTGCTTGTAGCATTGTTTCTGGCCACCCTGGGCCAAATGTATTAGATCAGAGCACATATTACAATCAGCAAGCCATCTAATGATATTATGTTCAAATGATAACCAAGTGTTGTACCATTGATCAGTATTGGGAACTTTACTGAAGTACATCCCCCCAAAAAATAAGAATGAAATTCCATTACAAAAAACCATGCTTGATCATTCGCTGATGGACACAGCTGGTGTGCTGAAAGGACACAGAGGTGTCCGCCTCTGAGTCTTTCATAAGGCAGTGACGGAGCTGTAAACTTTCTGGTATAGCCTACTATCAAAGAGGAGCATCGTTGACTTTAAAGCCGTGTACGCTGCGGCTGACGTAGCCTCTGCGTTGTTCGGAGGCAATCCCAGCGGATCTTCGGGCAAAAAAAAAAAAAAAAAAAGGGGGGGAAAAAAAAAAAGGCAAGAGAAAACTATAGCTTTGGTGCTCTAACATCTGTGCAGACTCTGTCGGCTCCGCATTACCTCACCCGGTGGCCGGGCCATTGCCACTTCCCCCCTGCAGTTTAACTTTGGCTCCTTTTCCTCCCTCCCTCCTCCACAATCTCTCCTTCCTCCTCTCCGTTCATGCTATTACGTCTGCTGCTGGGAAAGACGCGAAAGGCAGGGAGGGGGGGGGGGTGTACAATTAAGAGCACATTGTAACGTCCTTGCGTTGGCTGCTGTGGCGGAAGAGAAGTGTGTCCGGAGAACGCCGGTGACCGTCGGCGGACCAGCGGAAGATACATAGAGAGAGAGAGACAGGGCTCGAGAAAAAAGAGAGGACTCAAGATGCCTCGTTTTAGCGTGATTTGTCCCGCAGACTGTGCCCTTCTGGCGTTTTGAGGGCTGCTTGTGAGCCTACCGAGAGAGAGGTTGGCTGGCTATACGCTATGCAGCCTGACCCTGCTGTGTTGTGATAGCGCTGTCCGATTGTTTGGATTGAAGAAAAGGCTCCCATCAACCCAAATCAATGAGGATTCTGAGGCCATTCCTTCAGAAAGGAGCGCATATGCTGCAGTGTTTCTGTGGACAACGATCGAAGTCGACCACTATCCCCGACGGTGAGAGAGAAACATAGCTTCACGGCTGCCTTTGCTTTGCCTTCTCTTTTGAGTGATTGGAAAAGAAAGGGGGTATAAACAGAGGGTAGGAGGGGGGGGGGGGGGGGTGAGTGCTTTAATTAAACACCCGAGTGTTTGAGTAACATCTCGTTACTCTGCAGTGGAGAGAGAGAGAGCTTCTCCTTGAGTTGCTCGCATCTGTCCCGAGTTTTGTGTGCAGTCCTAGCCCGCCACGGATGGCTGTCGGCAGCCAGCAATCGAGCCGCACTGCTCCTGAAAGGAGAGGGTTCTGCATACTTTCTGTAATTGAGCCGTATTTGCAAACGAGTGCTCTCCAGTGCTGCATCTGACGCGAGCCAAAAAATAAATAAAAAAAACGGACAATGCAGATCAAGTGGTTAAACTTCAGGGGCCAGAGGAGGCGGCATTCGTTCAGGGCCCCAAACAAAGCAGCGCTTTCAGCACCACGGACAGCGCCAAAGCAGACGCATTCCATGGCGGTGGCTCGAACTTTTCACGACAGGGTTTCTGTGATTGGGATTGATATCAAACCCCACTGACTGATTCCGTTTGGTGTAAGGCGTTAACACTGGAAACTCAGCCCAAGATAACCTAACAGCATCTGTTTTTTGTAGATGAAGTGCTCTGATGACGAGATTTTCTTTTGTTCTTAAACAGGTGTAATATTGATCTCAGCCAGAAAAAAAGTGAAAAGTAGTTTAAAATCATTTTGATTGGAGGATATGTCAAGAAGAGAACAATTTCTCTTAGCTGGGAAATAAATCTCACCTGTAAATAAGACGTAGTTTCTAGCTGTCCACAACTACTTTTATTATATTACCTGACTGACTTCCGTAAGCACCACAGGCCTGTACACAACCATCACTTACCAGTGTTTGGCACCAAGCCTAAGAGTCCTGCCATGTCCTCTAGTCATCACTGAAGCAGATGACTGCATTGCTACAGTTGTTCACTCATGACAGAACTCTAGTCTTCAAACAGAAAGCTGTTAAACTGGAAGGCAGATGCAACACCTTCCGCTGCCTCCTCCTGTCTCTCAAAGTGTCTCAGCTCTCAAATTCAGGACAGACAATTAGAAACTCCATTAAGCACACTTGATTTCTCAGAGGGAGTTGGACCAAAAGCAGCATGCACACTGGGATCTGTGAGGTTCGGATATAGATAAGTACTATCAGTGCTTATCCCCTATATCCGCTCACTGTTACATGAACCTTATGACCTCAATCAAGACTTAATGAGTCAGCTCATCGGTGTTGACAGAAATGGGTGCAAAATGTGAAAGCATGAATTTAGTTAGAGCTGTCTGAGATTACGCTGTGTGATACATTTGTTTAAACTTTGATGATAGTGAATTTACTAAAGTGGAATAGATTAGTACAACTAAATTGCTTTTTTAAAATCATTTGAAGGTGAGATTGTTCTGTTGGCAGACACATCACAGACACTTAAATAGAGAATATTTAATTTACTTTTGCTACATCAGAGTAAATCTCTAGTTCACATGCTTAATATTTTGTCACTAAATTGTTTGCAGCTGCAGGAAAGTGCTTTTTGTCTTCAGATTCAATTTATATTCTAATTTACCTCAGCAATTTCTTATTAAAAATGAAGGCCCAAATTCATCTGCTTTCCTATGAAATATAACTGGTCTTTCTTTCCTAATGTTAACCCAGAGGATTTCCATTTGTAGACACATGTTGCTTTAGAAGAAGTTAAACACACCACTTGTGGTAAAATTCAAGCCTTTCTTTTAATCCTTCTGTCTATCTGTCGGTCTGTCTTTCTGTTAGTGTCATCTACAGTAACATCCAGATTGAGCTTGCCTAAATTGCTGGGACAACTGATACTTTAGGGATTTTTAAATGTATGTTTTCTCAGGGGCTGTAATGCTTTCTATTCTGGTTTGGTGTCATATCAGAGATATGAGGGTTTTATCTAAAAAGTGCAATTTAGAGGACAGAAACTTGGTTGATTTTTCTTTGCAATTTAAGGTTTGTGTTTTGATGGTTGAAACTTTTGTATTGTCTTTCACTGTTTGATCGCAGAGATGTTTTGACCGGTAGGATGACACAGTGAGTCACTTTGGTTCTCTCACATCCGAGCCCTACACCTCCCCCAGATATGGTGAGACAGTTGAGCAGACATTGCACTTTGAAATTTAGCCCTAGCTATTGTGAGTCAACAAATCTGTGAGATATCTCAAGGGCAGTCAGAAGTGACAAACTTCAGATTGGGAGCATCCACAACTTTCTCTCTGATAAGTCGTAGTTCATTTATTCGCCACAAGGGAGCAGCAGACACGAAGACTTCACGAAGTCCTGCAGGTTGCAGCTATGGCAGGGCCACAGGATTGCTCAGACTTTCATTGGTTTCATTTAGTGGCCGTCACAGGCTGACATTTCTCTGATTATTGCATTTTCATTTGATAAAAGAACAAGTCAGCTCATTTAAAAGATTTCCTATTCTTTAAATTCATATTTTGTTTTTGTAGAAAAGCTGTACATAATCATCAAAGTGCATTAAGGAATGAAAATGACAGTTTTCCTGTATGAGTCGATCATCTTAGTGAAAACTAGCTAAAAGTAAAGTGACACTTTTTAAAACAGTGATAATCTACTGGGACTATCATTACTGCAGTATTTTATAGCTTGTTGGTGAATCTCGGTTGGTTTAAGGTTAACATAAATTGTTTCTGAAGCAAGAAGCTTAGCAGATACCGTGTGGGGAATTCTTAATTTTTTTTCCTGACAATGAAAAATGTCCATATCTGTAGCTCTCTTGTACTACAAATTATACTCTGCACCGCAAGTGGATGTTTTTCTTTTTCTAAAAAGTGTACAGAAAATCACCGTCCATATTGTTAAGACAATGTTGTATTTTGGAAATTCATATTAATATTTCTTCATACTCTAGTAGAAAAATGTTTTCAACCACACACCAACACATCGGCTGAGGTACAAAATCAGATAAGATTCAGGCTTTGGATTTGGAGTCTCTAGTCCTCATTGTCAAACGTGGTATTTTTAGTCTGTTTATCTCACTTTGGTGGAAAACAATAATATTCTCTGCCCTTTGTCTTTCTCCTCCCTCAATCTCTCAGGCACACAAAGGACTTATCAGGGTCCCAGCTCTTCACATTCAATCTCCTCAACCACTCTATCCAAATATTACATGAGAAGGACATAGATGTCAGTCGAAAAATCTCTTCTGTTGTCTCCACGGATTCGATTTGGATAGAGAATGTCAAACCGGGTCATAGAGAAAGCTTCTAAATGTTTCATAGTGTTTCATCATGGGGACAAGATACATTTGCTGTGCGGCTGAGTGCTGGTGTTTTCTTCCTTCAACGGTCCGTGGGTAGTAACAGACATGAAACGGAAAGCATGTTTTTGTTCTGCTTTTTAAAATATGCATATGTGTGCATACAGAGAGATGTTTGCAGGAAGATTTAGTGTCCATGTACTTGTCATCAGTTATTACAGATGCATGTAAAAAAGACATGCATTTGTAATAATATATGGGGGGGGGAATGAAAAAAATGGTTTGCACGTGGCCACACTCAGGTGTTATAATGCTATAGTGGGCATATAGAGGTGCACAAACCAACAAATGTCTAAAATACAATGTTTTATAAGTATTATTTGCAGTATGTGTTGCTCATGATATTGTTTCCATACCCATGTCCATCTCATTCACACCCAATTAATTTGTTGCTGTCTGTCTCATTCTCAACTTTTCCATTCATGTTATACCTGTTGCAGGCAATCCTATTACGTTTCCTAATTGGCACATGTCGCCGGGGGGTTTATGACAAGGATCTGGTCTTTAAATAAGCTTTTGGGGCATTCATAGTCTGGAGAATATAAGCCGTAGCTGGATAAAACTGGTCTTTTTATACACAGATTCTACCTACGAGTTTAATGCAGGTATTCTTTCTGACCAAAGGGTTGTATGTTCCTCTCTGTTATATATTCACAACTTTTCATCACCGCACTGATCGATATTTCCCCGTGTGGCCACAGAGAATTCCTAATCCCAGCTTCACTCACGTATGATTGCGTTAAAAGAGTTGGAGAGGCAGCGATGTGGGAGAGCGAGCGAAATAGAGAGAGAGTGAGGGAGAGACGGAGAGGGGGAGGCTTTGGACCGCGACCATTCCATTCACTCTCAGTGTCGGCGATGTAACACACCTACGCGTTCGCCCAGGACGCGCAGGCAAAGCGGCTTCTTTATTATTTGTGCGCTGCAACGAAACGCTCTCCAGCGTGCACTCGGCTCGACTAATGTTGCGTTTTTAAGACTCGAATCGCTCCCCCGCTGGCTTCAATTCCAGCTCTGCAGCATCCTTGCAGAGTATCCTTTGCCGTCGAATCCATTTTTTCCCCGGACTGCACATAGAGGTGCCATCGACGCAATCGGAGACTGGGCTCACATACATCCTGGCTCCTTGTCCCGCATATCCTGGACCAGAATGGGGCCGTCTCGGTGATAGATACGGAAGGAGAACACGATTTGAAACAGGGGGAAAAAAAAGTTTGACTATTTTTTCCCCCTTTCTATTCCCAAGAGCCCGACTCTTTGGGGTTCAGGTTGGTTGAAATTACCCAGAGGCGTGAGGAATCCATGAGAACAGGCTAGTGTGCCAATGAGGACTTGTCCCCGTCAGACGCGGCGCTGTTCACCTGGAATACCTGGAGCTCTCCAATGACAACGCAGCTGCACCAACTTACAAACACTGTTGCATGTTTTCACGCCTGATGGTCCGGCCCCTGTGGCCTTGCCCGTATAGATTCCTGCAGAAAATACGATAGGTCTTTCATTTCAAGCACTGAGGGGCAATTTCAAACTCGAGGCAGCTGTATTAGGCTGCTGTGTTCTCCAGAGGATGTCTGACGCGCACTGATGCACGTGAGTCCAAGGATTTTGTGATCAGGATGACATTTGGTTAAAAACACTCGGGGACCACAGCATCAACGCCGATTTTTTTAGATATACATTTAAGTATATAGCCTATATATAAATATGTATATATATCTATAGATATATAATTACATATACATATATATAGCTATCTGTATATATATATTCAAACATACTTTTTTCGTCAAGAAACTGCATCAAGAGCCGACCTCTGCCGAACTAGACTCGCTTTTTTATTCGGTTCGGGGAGATGGCTGCAATCGCCAGCTCCCTGATCCGGCAGAAACGGCAGGCGAGGGAGTCAAACAGTGACCGGGTCTCTACTTCCAAGCGTCGCCCCAGTCCCAGCAAAGACCCCCGCTCTCTCTGCGAGAGGCATTTCCTGGGGGTCTTCAGCAAAGTCCGTTTCTGTAGCGGCAAGAAAAGACCGGTCCGGCGGCGCCCAGGTCAGTGGGATGATTATTTTATTCCTGTGATTCATTAAAGCAGATATGTGTTGTGTGTGTAGGGAAGAGCCCCCCCCCCCCCCCCCCCGGCCCCCCTCTCCCCACCGCACCCCGCCCCTCTTTGGAGCAGCAGAGGCATTACACCGCAGTCAGTCCCAACCGGGGGAGAAGGTAGATTTTCTCCGCGGTGCGAAAAAAAAAAATCCACCTGTTCCATTATTGTTGCTATTCCTGTTGTCTGTCGATCCCCTGTACAACACTACCCCCCCCCTCCCCCAGTAAAACACCCACCAGGGGCTGTATGAAGGAAGTAATCCATATGCTGTGACATCCTCCTGTACGTTTTTATAGTGACAGAGCACTGATTGCAAAATTGATGTCAGGCTTTCCCTGACAAACCTTGAGTAGGTTTAGCTCCTCCAGACATTAAACAGCCTGGAATGAAGTCCCCTGCACCTAAAACTATTTCCCCTCTAAAAAAACAAAACACTTGTATACATTAAAATGAACTATTCTAAATAGCCTAATTCAATATTAATGAAGATTGGAGTACAGAGGGGAGATAACTTGCACCGCAGTGCACCAAAGCTCTTTTCAGATTAAATGTTTTAATGGTGAATGTTTATTGCAGAGAGGCAGCCCTTGCTGCAGTAAAGGGAGGTATAGCTGTTGCCATTAAGAGCTGTATTGATATACTTGTCGGCTCTGTTCGCACAGTGCTTCGTTGTAGAGCCTTCTCTTTTTTAATTCGGCTGGTTCTATCTCGGTGCACAAATAACAAACCGGTGATGCAAGTCACCTCCCGCACCACCATCCAGACAGTTCTGTTTTCCGTGTGACAGCCAGGTCCTCTCAAAGTCACGCAGACACTCTGATGAGAAGTGAGGCAGGGTAGCATCATTTTTATAAGGCAAAACGGGGAGGACAGCAAACATCTACTCTGCCAGACAGACAGACAGACAGACAAACGAAGAGCTTGTCGTCTTGTAGCATCCTCACACAGCCTCTGTGCCGGAAAGGCACCAAACTGTATGAATCCCAACAAACAGACAGACAACAAAGCAGTTAAGCTCCAGACACTATGGGCAGGTGGGTAGTCCCCCTCGCAAATGGTTAGAAACAAGCAAACAAACATATGCTGTATGTCCTCTCTTTGAATATCCTTAAAATTTCCCTGATTCCTTGCCATATATTTGCTTATATAAACAGCCATTTCACTGGAGAATTTATAATTCTGCCTGTTTAAAAGACTGTTGTTTTTCCTTTTATCCTCCATCCCCATAAGATGCACCCTCGAAACCTCCACAGGTGTCCCATAAGGGCTGCAGGCTAGGTCAGTAGCTCAGCCTCCATCCTTGTGTGCTGTGTTTCTCCTCGTCTCCACCCCATCTCGCGCCCATATCGACAACCCCCTCGGCCAGGGAGGGGGGTTGGGAGGGGTGGGCGGGATACGAAAGAAGAGGGAGGGGAAGGGCTGGGGGCTTCAATACCTGTCTGAGTGCCGACGACCCTCTCCCTTGCTGATTTTCTTCTTTCATTCCCCCTTCTTTGTGGCTTTTTTTTAGATTCTTTTAAGCTTAATTTCTTACCCTTACCCTTTCCTCTACTAACTAAAGCTGTCCTACAGCCAGTCGTCTGTTGCTCTCTCTGCCTTCTCTCATTTTGTTTCAGCCTCATTCTCTTTGTCAGTGAATGTGGGATCAGTCTTTATCCTCGCTCCTCGTTCTTTGTGTGTAGATATGTGTTGAGTACTGCTGTGTAAGTGCAGAGGCTGCTATTGTAGTGTTTTTTTGGTGTATATCGATATGGTGTGTTTCTCCTTGTCAAAAACTATATTAGAATAGGTGATCATTCACCATTTCATGGTCATGATGCCATTTGTCAGCGTACGTGAATGTTTTTGTCCTTCTGTATTGGTATGACGTAAATCTGTTGGTGCCCTAATGCTCCGTACACTCACAGAATGATCTTAAGTTTGTTGTCATTGAAAGACATTTGTCATGCACAGACGTAACCTCTACAAGTCTGTGTCCACCTGCACACAAAAGCGCACACATGAATACGCATGCACACATGCTCTCTGCTAAATGACTAGAACAGATGAGCCGTCAGCACTTGCTTGGGGCCCGTGCTGTGGCCATAATTTATGGAGGTGTAGTTATCACATGTGATTTACTGATGTGTACACTCCCATGTGCTTTCACACACACATAAACACTCACGCATGATCACATTCTCCTCAACGTGCCCATGATGGATGATGAAGGGCCTGTCCCAGGAATTGATGGCCCTAACCCAGGGCTAGGTGAGTTGGGAATTGATGGTCAGGATGATGTACAGCTGAGCGGACGTGAACACACTCTCGCTGTGGGTCAGTGTTGGCTTACTATTTCTGTGAACTCTCTTCTCCATTTACTTGTCCCCTGCGCAACTTAAATTAAACTTTTGAGCTGGTAATAAAGCTTTGAAGAAAAACACATCTAATCTGTTACTACTGTTTACGATTAGCTGACATGGTCCTCAATGTCAAGATTCAGTTTCTAAAATGTTTTGCCTAAATCTTGCAAGATGCTATGAGCCTACCTGGACTGTTACGATATTGTTTCCTCAAGTTTTCTTGGGACCTTCCCCTGATTCCAATTGTTTTACATCATTTATCTGTGCACACACGCCAAAATGTGTACCTGTACCATTTATAAAAGATGTGACAAAACGATCAATCTTCTTTCTCACTCATCAAGTGAACAAGAGACATACAATATAGTTTGTTCTTTACTGGACACTTCAAAATAATATATTTGTATATTCTCCCCAGCTGTTTTTTTTCATTTTTATCAGCACTGATAATAGTTTATCTGATCACAAAGCGGCTTTCAACATCTAGCAAAACAGTATAATTTCACACACGACTGCACTGAGAAAAGCCATGACAAAACTTTTGTAAAGTCTTAACGGTGTCATCTAAAACTAACTTGTCCTTTTACACCAAACCAGAAGACCTGCTGGACATAACCGATATAGACTGAGTGTACCTCTTTCTTCAAACAAACAAATGTTTACACCCATATATATATATATATATATACAGTAGATCCCCAGAATTGCCTGGAGCTGAGACTCTTTCTTTGCTCTGAGCTAATTCTCATTTCCAGCTGCTCCCTTGAAGTATGGAACGCTTTAAGCTGCACTCTGGCCAGGAGCCAAGAGGACCTACCCTTCAACGTTAGAGGTCAATCCAGAGTTACCGTAACATACAAAACGACACCATAACAAAATAGCCTTAGATAGACTTACTTTTGGCCACCAATTACAAACGGATGCAAGAAACAGCCTGTAAAAAATGTTTTGGCTGAAAGGAGCAATGATACTCTATGTCTGTGACTTTCACTCTCCAAAAAGAATTGTAACTCTATATCTTATAAATGATGCACAGTGTCAGAGTTGTATTTACAAAAAACCCTCCAAATGATGCAAAAGCAGGCAATTTTCTCCATATTTTCCAATAAATTGCCTGAAAAACATTCTCATATATCTGAGTTGCCTCCTTAATGTAAAGCCTGCTGGCCATTGAACCATTTACCCTTTTATGATGTCATGTGCAGTGGATGATTAATGACAAAGCTTCAAACGTTCATTCATCATATTATTGACATCCAAGTAAAAAAAAAAAAAAAATCTATGATATCTAGCACTGGGAGTTAATTCATATAAGGGCAGCTGTGGGAGCTGGCTTGTGCCTCAAAATTCACACGATTGCTTTTAAATGTGATTATCTCGAAATGGAAAATATGAAATCACAAGTATGTCTCTATTTATATTCAAAAGTTCTTTATTTTAAAGAGGTTTTCCTTAAGTTTGCAACTGCGTAAAACATTTATATTCTAGCCGTAGACAAGCCCCATGTACCTTATTATATGCTACATTTTTCTATTTGTTGAACACTCCTTTATGATGATCTAAGCTTTTTCTTTGATAGAAGCATCTTTGGAGTGGGATTGCAGAGTTATCAAATGTCTCTTTTTTTTCCTTGATCATGAGCATGTTTTTCTGACATATTCTTGGTGGGGATGGGACTGTTGCTTTGCCAATGGTTGGTGTGCATGTGTGTCTGCTGTATGTGCGCGTGTGTGTATGTGTTTCAGAGCCACAGCTGAAAGGCATTGTGACACGACTGTTCAGCCAGCAGGGCTTCTACTTGCAGATGCAGCCTGATGGAACCATCGATGGCAGCAAGGACGAGAACAGCGACAACAGTGAGTGGAGCATTTCAGAAGCTATGGCTTTCTTTTTTCAATCTTAAATGGCTGTGATTCAGTCAGTTATATAACATTTTTTCACATTTTTAGTCCTTGCATAAGTGAGACCCTGTAAAAAACAACTCCAAAATGAGTTTAAGACACCCTCACTGAAATTTCTTTACTTTTTGTTCTCAAATGCACAATTGGATAAGGAACGGTTCAGCCAAATCCACATGACACATCGCTCTCTTTTCTGCACCAGGTTATGCAATCACAGGAACAGAAATATGCCAAGCAGTCACTCAAATAGGTTTGTATTCTTAGCTTGTAGTGTATGGTATAACATTTTTTGAACCTCTGAAATCGAGTAGTTGTGGAAATAGTTTCAATATCCCTGCCCAGGCAAGTACGGTAATCCCATTCTGATGTGTACATAGTATGATTGCAACTGCCATGTTGTTTTGACTGATGGGACTCCAAAGCATGTGTGATAATGACAGAAACATTCCTTCCCAGACAGCATTGTAACCCAACACAGCCTAATCTGACAGATCCCTCCCCGAATCCACTCCAAGTCTTTCTCCGGTGAATAGATGGTGAACGTTAGGCGCTTGCGCATTGGCCACTTCTGGAAAATAGTCAATTCAGTTTTGTTTGCCCAAAGTACTCTTCATTGAAACAAAAGGGTTTTGAACAAATTTCCCTTCAAGCATCAAGGAGGAGATAGTCGACAAGGCAATAATGATGACGCTCCGAGTTTGGAGCTAAGCCAGGCAGGAAACCAATCATGACCTTTCTTCTTTGAAATATTCTGCCAATCCTTAAGGAAGCTGGAGCCAAAGCTGCTGGATGGTGGCAGTCATGCAATGAAAAGAATAGCCTCTCCCTGTCACACGCTACTTTATATTTTACGATGCAATACCTTGTCAGTTACAATGATTTATAGCTTAAAGGAAAGGTCTTCAGGACAAAGAATCACTGTGTGAGAGCCATGCAACATTGACATACTGCATTTCATCAGTGCAACTGGAGTACATGGCTCATCCGGGGCTCTCTATTATGTTATTAGGGTTATAGCTGGTGAGGGTTTTGTTAGACATTAGGGCTTTCCCCACCTCAAGGTAATCCTTTGGTTAAGCATTCCCACTAGCCCAGGGATGGAGGAATGCAGTGAATAATTCAACCACAAAAAACTAAAAATACCACCTTCTCCGTTTGTACCCGATGAATAATTCTCTATCTTTGACAAAGTCCAAAGGCAGACAAAGAGGGAGCAGCAAGAAGCAGGAGGTTTGCAGGAAGACTTTGAAATGCTCTGAGCAGAGACAGGAAGGCAGAATAAAACACGAGAGTGATCAAGAATGATGGAAACGAAGGAGGAAGATTTGGCATGCAACTCCTGCACTGAACTATTGATTGCTGGGGTGGATTATTAGAATAATAGATTACCCCCACCCTTGAACCACACCACCCTCTGACCTGCAGTATGCACAGCGGTGGCAGAAAGAATACAGTAATTTATGTTAAGAGGGTTGGTCAGTGGATTTGAATGGATTGAGGAACATGATTATGCCTGTGCAGCTGGAAATCGGAATGCATGCAGAGAGAACACAATTAAACAGAAAAATGTGATGAAAAATGCCTTTAAAGAGGCAAAGGAATTCTTCCTTAATCATAGCTCATGTTTGATTTAAAAAGCAAGGGAAAAGGCTGCGTTAAGCCCCTGCTATGAAAGGAAACATGACTTCACTGGTAATCGTGACTTAGTAGCAGAGTTATGCTTAAGTAACTGCAGCTGCTGTGTAATACCCCAGAGTTACTGAAAATTCATGGTCAGCTATGACCAGTTATTAATTTGACCGCCATCAGCTGAGTGCATGCTGTGATTAACTGCAACACTGAGAGGCTGTAGAGTGATGCTGCTTGTAAAAACTACTGCAGTATAAGGCATTCACTCCATCTACTCTGGATCTGGACAGATGTAATGACCAGAATATTTTCATTTTTTAATACACTGAACACCCAACCTCTAAATTCAAATGCTTTCTATCTTAAGGAGTGCCGATTTTCAAAACCACTCATTTGGTGTACATACAAACCCTCCATTTTAATGAAAGCTCACCTGAATTGATGACTTAAAAGAAATCAAAGCCTGGCCACAGGTTTTTGTTTCCTTTCCTACCCAAAACCGACATACTGGAAACTATTGACTGTACAACTTTGCAGTGGATGTCCAGACACATCCCTGATTTGATCCCTCTGCCTGCACAAAATCATTTTGGTGAAATGCTTTCAACCTGATTAAAATATTTTAAGTCTGTCAGTTTACTGCTGAAGTTTAAATGAATTTACTTCAAAACTTGCACTCTGGAACATATTGCTAATTTTTAGCTAATGTTGTATGAATTTATAAGAGGATCATTGTCTCAGTATTGTCCGATCTAACATCCAAGACATTGATGAGTCCTCTTTGATATGTTTTGTGCTTCATAATGGAATATTCCAAGTTTTCACAATTACGATTTTAGTATCAGTATCCTGATATTATTTCACAGTCTGCTCTTAAAAAAAAACAAAAGACAGTAATGTTACTGATATGTTGCCTATTACCTGAACTAGTTACAGTATTGTTTTTGCTCTTTGGTACCACCAACTTTGAGATGAGCTAACATTTTGACATAAAATGACAGAATATAACATTTTCAACATTTGATATTTTTTCTATGTTCCTATTACTTGCTTCATTATATTGAGGAGTGAAGGGTAAAAAGATAAAAAATAGACGAAGACATGAATCAACACATATGGTTACAGTATTGTCACCAGATATATCGGAAAAGTATTATCTTACCAGATTTAGGTGCCCTCCCTTCACATATCAGATTTGTTCTCTGTTTTTTTTTAACTCGCCAGTAGGCTTAATGCTTCCTCATTAGTTATAACAAGCAGTGTATTTCCCTTACATACCTGCAGGAATTCTCTTCAGCCCGTTGCAGCCCAACTGAATTACCTGCGGTTTTGTAGATTTAGCTTTATTGATGTTTTTGAACCCATTTTGTCGGAGCAGTATAAAGTTATTAGCTCCCCTTGCACAAACACACCTCTTTTTTGTGAGATCATTTCGGAAAAGAAATCACCTCCTTGATAGCGTCAGACAGGCTTTACAGCAGGCAGTGAGCCTATGATTATGAAATCCATCAGCTGCTTCAGCTGAAAATAGAAAGATGGACATCTGGGATAGCCGGGTGACAGTTCTTGTCAATAGTTTATTTTTTAGTCTTGACTTTGGCTGGCAAAATTAAATTAAGAATGTCTTTACACTTCCAAGGCAGGATGAACAATAAATGGCTCATCTGACCAGCGTAGCTAATCACTAGAGAGAAAAAGACAATTAGGGAATACTGAAAGAATGAAGAGTGAAAGAACAGAGGGGGAAACTTATGATCCAGAAAAAAAAAATCTATTAAGAGATTTATAAGACAAATGTTCAAATCTGCTTTTTGCTCAAGCTTCATGGCGCTTTAGTGGTCAGTGTGTATCACCTGTTCCAGTGACCTGAGGGCAGGTTGAAACCATTGGCAGGCAAAAGCTGCAGTCAATATTTATTGAGTGAAATTGAATCTTCTCGGGGGACAGGCTAGTGTTGGCATGTCTCCACTTTTTCCTGCCAGCTTTATCTGATAGGCCCCATCAGCACTTGCAAAGCGATCATTCCAGCAATACATGGAGTTTGCAGGAAGTAGAGAGTGTTGCCATGCCATCACCAAACCAAAGCTTATACAGGTATACATACAATAAGTCACAGTTCAGACTGTGGTGAAATTCTGTGAAATCTAATGAGGAACCTACACACTCTTGGACTCTTCATGAGTATCGCTTTGATCTATAATTTTACATTATATTTTTATTATTTTCTAGTTATTAACATCACATGTTGGAAGGACAAGTTCTAAATATTTCTTTGGCCTTGAACAGGGCATGTTTAACAGATAAAAACCTATCTGGCTGACTTTCTGTGCCACTAAAAGTCAGTTGCCATTGAAAGGTTACTGACTTCCATTTTAGCTGTGATGGTTCAATTCGGCGCATTAATGTTCCCATTGCCCAGGTCTCGTACTGTTCACTTCACTTCTGACACTTCGCGACAGAGTGCGGATCGGAGACTGTTGTGTCTACAAGTGTTGAATCAAAAGTCAATTTCCCTAATCCGTCCTTTCTGCCTGATGTCTCTTTTTGTTTCCGCCTCTATATAACTGTCCCCTTCCTGCCCGTGTCTCCCTGCACTGTGCTCTGCAGCTCTGTTTAATCTTATTCCTGTGGGTCTGAGAGTGGTGGCCATCCAGGGGGTGAAGAGTGGATTTTACATTGGCATGAATGGCGAGGGGATGCTCTACAGCTCGGTAAGCCACAGTCACATTGTTAGGGTGTGTAAGCCTGTGTGTTAAAAGCATGCTTAATTCTTCATCTACACGTGTTTTATTTTGTTCTGCTCGTTGTCCCAAAAATCCCATTGCAGCAAATCTTCGGCTCTTTAAAAGTCTTTCATCTCTGCTATGTTCAAAAGCTCCTGAGATGTGCCTTTGTGTTGGTCTGCGGCACCACCCAATGCTGCCTTTTACACAGCTCGACTTCTCTTCTCATTTAAATTATCATAAAGTTTGGTGCTTGGACCTTTCTTGAAAAGGACACAGGATTTTCCCTTTTTTGGTGTGCTACTGACAGATGCTTGCAGTATAAGTAGGCTGTACACAAACGTGTCAGGAGGAGGAATGCAAAATCTGTTGCATTAAGGATGGACATGCCAGACTGAAATGAGCAGTAAAGACAGCTATTGATTAATGGATTATGGATAGATACAAAGGTATAAACATAAGAAAATACTGCAGGTGCCATGGTTATATAATCTCAACTCTCATGCTTCGTAAACCAGTTGAAGGTAGTGTTATTGTAGAGAGAGGAAGATGTCCTCATACTTCTGCTGAGGGGCTTGGCAATGGCAGTCTTACTGCCACTCAACCGGTAAGATGTTGACTTTACAAACTGTCCATCAAACCTTTCTACTCATAAATACTTGAAGGACAGTGTGGCAGCTCTCTGATGTATTGACAAGGAAGCTGCTGTGCTGCAATGAGAGCCAAGTCTGCATGGTGCTAGTTTAAAGAAAGAAAATCTTTGGGTAGTTGCTTTTAATCGTGACTCTTATATTCCAAGTAATATTCTTTGTGCAACTTGAGCACAATGCGACAGATTAAGAAACACGCCTGGTAAATTATATTGTGACTCATTCTGGTACAGTATATTGATTAATTTATAACTGAAAGTTCATAAACCAGTATGCAACTCACAGCCCAACTGTGATGTTGATGATAAACCCTCACCCATCCACAGCTACTGAAATGTAATCATGCTCAGCGAGAGGGCTTTAATTTATTAGATTAATTGTTGAAGTTAGAGATACTGTATGACCCCCACTTATACCCATCCTTTAAAGAGGTCATCATTCTTGTCAGGATAAATGATAACGGTTAATTAGAAATTACTGAGTACCTCAGTGTCAAACGATAGCTTTCAGCATATCCACTTTAATCATATTTTCATGGTTTAGGGAGCAAAATTTTTCACCTTTTTTAGGGAGAGATGTTTGGGAGGTAACAAGTTTACGACCATTTTAATTTTAGCCACAAATTGAATGCACACGCTGGCCATGAAGGAGAGGCGTAGCAGCTCAAATGTGAAGAGTAAGAGGGCAACTGAGAGATTTATAAACCATGGGGAAGCACACGGTGCTCGTAAACGGGCTAAATTACCATTCAGACAACTGGATGAAAGCACCGATTGCTCCCTTTTGCTGTTAATTTCATTATGTACCTGTTTTAAGTTGTGTGCTACAGGAGAACTTTCTTGTCATATATATACACTTTTATGGGAACCCCTCATGAAGCAGCCATAACGCAAGTCCTTCATTTTCATTCGTCATACTTACGGTTGCTCTCGTTATTGTTTGCCCAGGTATGTCCCCCCGCCCAAACAATAAAGTTCTTTACTGCTTTTCTTGATTTTCTCATTTAGTCTTTGTACCATTTCAGTGCAAAGATGTTCAGCTCTGTATTTTTCCGTTCTTCCCTTGGGACATCATTACTGTGGGATATCCTCCTACCTCTCTGATACTCTACCCCTCTTTCTCCCCTTTCTCTGCTCCTTTGCACTTCTTTGTCTTGTTAGTGAGGGAATCTGGCAGGCTTTATCTTCTCTCTGCTTGGTACAAGTCTGAGAGGTTGTGTCGCAGCCCCGAAAATCATTTATCTCAGTCTGCGTAGTGTCAGATATGTAGATATGTGGCCATTTGGTTGTAGTCCGTTAGTGATTGTGGTTGATCTCATTGGTATCGTACAGTTTATATTAGTTGCTGATTTGGCCTCTTTCGAGTTATGGAGTGTGGAGCTCATTGTTGAGGTTGTTGTCGACTGGAAGCTGAGGGCGAGTTGGATGATGTTGCTTATGTGGAGTGTTTAGTGGTAAAGTGCGTGTGGGCTAAGCATTTACAATGAAAAGTTCCCCTCCATTATTTATAACACACAAAATGACCTACTTTACTGCACAGCAGTAACCACTGTTCTTTATGTGTGCCTCTGCTGCACAACTCCCTCCCTCTTTCTCTCTTCATCCTATCTATCTATCTATCTATCTATCTATCTATCTATCTATCTATCTA